ATCAAAGAGCTCGTCATTCGCTTGCTCTCACACGAGTCAAGGGTTTTCTTGGGTAAGGGAAATAAGGAAAAGGGTTGGAACAATGGTGTTTTGTTAGTTTCGAAAGACCCAGAAAAGCTTCGGGAAATTGCATTTAGGGAGTTTGTGAACTTGATTAAGGAAGAAAATGAAGTTTCTGAAGAGCTTTTGGTGAGGGGGGTGGGGGGGTTTCTGAGTTCGTGGGATATGGTTGCAGGTTGGGCTGTTGGAGCTTGATCACAGAGAGAGAGAGATATTTTGTTTTAATTTTTTTTGGTTTTATGGTTTTTAATATTTTAATCAATTTAAAATTTAAATTAAAAAAAAAGTGGGACCATAGTGCCACGTAGGCAACTAACGGTGGAATCTGACGGAAACCTAACGGTGGAATCGGATTGTAAAAAATTTACAAACTCGGGGTATGCGATTGTTAAAATTGAAAATACGGGGACTAACATGTCTTAAGGATGTAAGTACAGGGTACTAAATTGTAATTAACCCTTATTTTTTCTTTCTCACTTTCTCACTTTAAAATTATTTTTTACGTTTGAAATTTTAAACAGGGTTTCTGGCTTCTGGAACAACAGCACCGGGGGCAGAGCAGACAGCAGAATAACTGATACAAGTAGCGCAAATTGTTCGAGTTAATTTAAAACTATTATCTTTGTTTTTAATTCTTCTCTTTTTTTGCGTAAGCAGAGAATCATACACTAGTTTATCATTTTCTACCCAACGACAACACTTTATTTGTATCCAGTGCCGTTTCAAGGAAAAAGGTTAATTTCGTTTAAAAAATCGTATGTGTTGCTTACTTGTCACTGTTTAATTGGCCAATTATAATTTTAAATGATTTTCAATGAATAAATTGGTGGGTTCCACGACGTTTATGTGAAGGGGCCGGGCCTTCATCCTTTGTACGCAACAATCTAGAAGAAAACATGGGGGGACCGGCTCCTTTTATTTTTTTTTTAAGTTGAGGAGAAGATTGGCTATTCTCACGCGACCATCAACGCCACAATAGATCTACAATCTCATCTCAGAAGGATTTACGCATAACACTCAACTGCCAACTGCCACATATATGGATTTATGTAGCTAATTACAGATCGCGTGCCAACGAGAATTGTTAACAGCGGAACTCGAACAATAATGGGGCTACACATAATGCAAAGACCTTTAATTTGCTTTTTTTAAAAAAAAAAAAACTTTACGAAAGCCCCTTTTTTATTATATGTGACATAATAATATTTTTACTTTTATTAATATTATGTTTAGTATTGTTGAAGAAATTAATAGAGAGGACCTTTCAGATACGAATGTGGGATTTGATTGGTCAAATAAAAAAGACAATTTCTACTCTACTTCCCAAATCCTTTTCTTCTCATATAAGATATATTAGGGATGAAGCAACCTCAGTTATAACTACTTTTAACAAGAGCTACATATCTTTTTACTTTTAAAATTATTTATTATATTTAACTTATGTTTTGTTGTCCTAATATTTGTATTGACCATAAAAAGAGTTTTTTTTAGTTTTTTTAATTCTATAAATAGTTGTTATATTGTGATTAACGTTCCAAAAATTATTAATAATTCTGTACTTTAATTATGATGTGGATTTTTTTAAAAAAAATACAAGTGATAGTCTACACACGATCAAGGTGCTATGGAGGTTTGAATCAGAGACCACTAGTCTACGAGTCAAGACCTTTTTCCACCGGATTAGACTCTGTTGGTAATTATAATATAAATTTGATTGAATGACCATTGGGTTTTATAAATTAAGATACGTGAATTACAAACAAAATATTAAAATTTTTAGTACGTTTATTTAACCATGATAGCAACGAAATATAAAATCACTTTCAAAAGTCACTAATGATAAAATGTTGGTGTATATTGTCCAATAATAATTGGAAAAAAAAAACATTATTAATAAAATAAGACAAAATGTGTCTGCCAACGAAATATAAAATCACTTTCAAAAGTCACTAATGATAAAATGTTGGTGTATATTGTCCAATAATAATTGGAAAAAAAAACATTATTAATAAAATAAGACAAAATGTGTCTGAAAATAATTAGTATAAAAAGGTGAAAAATTACTAAAGAAATTGACAATTTCACAATATAAATATAGTTAATTAAAAACAAAAATATACTGTATTCATTTTAATTGTCATGTTAATGGAATATACAGCTACATAAGATATTTTTATTTAGATGTCACATATGGTTGGATGATCATCTACTCTATTTACCAAATTAAATATCCAGATGAAAAAGTATCCTATATTCCTCCTAATCTATATTTACCAAATTATTATCCAAGAAGAATCTATATTTATCAGAAAAAGGTGCCGGAAAAAAGAAAAAGAAAATAAAAAGGAGTGCCAAAACGAGGTTCACGCGCGCATGAAGAAGTGGAAATTGCCACTTGAGATACAAGGTGTGTAAATACTTGGATTTCTCTATAAATGCAGGATGAAGGGCACTCCCTCCCAGCCCATCCTCCTGTGTGACGCTCGCTCTCCTTCCTCTCCATTTGTCTCATCTCTCTCAGTCTCTCTGTTAAAAATCGCCATTAAAGTTCGTTGCAAGTTCTCACAGATTCCCAAAAAAGAAGAGAAAAGTAAAGTTCCGTGGAAGTTCTCGAAGATTCGAGACAATCGCTGTGCCGATCTTCCACATATTTCCTCACGGTATGTCTATCAAAATTTTCAATACTTTCTTGGTAGACTTCTTCTTGAATTTCACCCCTTTTGCTTTGTTTAGCTTAGACAATTTGCGGTGGGACGTTGAAATTCATGTGGAATTTGTGGGTTTTGGTTTTTTGGAAGATGTTTGTGCTTTGATTTGTAAGCCACAGATCTAGCTTATTTCTTATCACTATTTGGATTTCGGGCTTGGGAAGTCTTTTGGGGAAAGAGAAAGGGAAATGTTCAGAAAGTTTGATTCTTTGGGAAACAATTCAAGCATTTGCCCTCATCCCAGATAATTTTCTCGTGAACACAGCAAAGGGGTCATTTTAGTTCATTTATTTTGTGTTTGTAGGGATGTGGAAATGTGGCAGAGGATTTACCTTCATTTAACACTAAATTCTAAGCCAAGAGATGTGAGGTTATAAGGCGTTTCTGTGAATCAATCCCCTATTAATTTATGACCGTTTCTTGAGAAATGATTTCTAAGTGCATATTCAGCTTGGTGAAGCTTAGTTTTTAGCAGTATAGGGACTTGTAGGTATGTATTTTCGTTTTCTTTGGGGTTATGTTAGTGTTTGTCTATATACTGAATCATGGTTGAAGTGTTTTCCTACAACTTGAAGATGGTAGTGAGATGCATAGGCTCGGATGAGGCTACCCAACTAACCGTTATATGTATTATAAACAGGAAGAGTGAAATCCCTCATTTCAGATCTGGGATTAAAAGAACAAGCCAAAATATGTTTCTGTTTATTTTGTGCTTGATGGAGATTTAGTTCAGTTTCTCTTTTGGGGGGTGGAGTGTGAATAAGAACCGATTTGGGTTCGCCTATCTGTTGCTCTCCTCCTTCATACTGTTTCTTCTATATTAGGCATTGGTTTTTCTTTTGCCTGTTCAATGGTAGTTTAGATTGGTCTATGTCTTTCATTATGCTACCTTGAAGTAGAAGAATTGTTGGGGCCAATGGTTTTATTGGATGTCAAACCAGAGAGACGCAACTCTGAAGAATTGCGAGTGTGAATTTGGTTGAGAGTGCTGCATATTAAGCAGCCGTTGTTGGGTAAAGCTGTCTTTATCAGCTTCCATGCTATGGCGATTGCTTTTGTGGTTTAGACTTTATTGTTGGTTCCAAGTCACCAGTGACCATAGAAGGATGTAGTGAACTACAATGTAGATCTACCTTCAAAAAACTATAAGGTGGAACAGCATTCTAGCATTATTTACCTGGTGCAGAATTTTTGGATCACATGGATGTCTAAAGTGAAACTTTTGTTCCATTTGTGATTTAGTCTTCAATGGTATCTCTTATGCCTGCCTATATGAATTGATTGAAATTAATTAATAAGAAGCAAAAATCCAAATTGGTAGGAAACTACCGCCTAGGTGCTATCTGTAAATACTGCTGTGTCTTACTATGTTTGATGTAAATGCATGAATACTTTACAATATACTGTAGAATCCACTAAGCCACTTTGTTTTACCTGTGAATATCTTGTTCTTTTAAATTTTAATCTAATAACTATTTGATTTATATTTTTGAGGTTCAGAGTTCCATATTTGATTGGAATTTGGAACTGACAAATTAATCCATGACTTAGTTATGATGGTCCCACAGGATTCAGGAAACTCAAGGTACTAAACTGGTTTTCGTTTGTGTTATCTTTTGCAGTATTGGTGGAAGAACGAAATTGGAAGAACAGAAAAAATGGCCTTGCAGCAATACTTTGCACATGAATGTAAATCCATCCCGGGAACAGCAACAGATTCAGAAAATTCCAAAGCTGGCTTTGACTGCAACATCTGCTTAGAGTTTGCACATGAGCCAGTGGTCACCTTCTGTGGCCATCTATATTGCTGGCCTTGCATCTACAAATGGCTTCACGTCCAGAGTGCCTCCCTTGCCTCCGACGAGTGCCCTCAATGCCCTGTCTGCAAGGCTGATATATCACACACCACCATGGTCCCCCTTTATGGCCGGGGCCAAACTTCTCCTGAAACCGAGCTTGAAGTAAAGGCACCCAACAGGGGAATGGCGATACCACCCAGGCCATCAGCATGTGATACACAAGCTATTATATCTAACACATCTCCTACCGGTCAGCAACTTCCATATCGTAACCCTTATCAAAACCAACAATATAGCCCTCCTCATCCATACGGTAGTTTTGGGGAACATTCTTCCGCACCGCTGCTTAACCTTGGAAGCACAACAATGGCAGGTATCCACCAGCATCCGGCGGTTGGGGTGTTTGGGGAAATGGTCTATGCAAGGGTGTTTGGAAACTCAGAGAGCTTATATGCGTACCCAAATTCATATCACTTAACGGGAAGTAGCAGTCCGAGGCTGAGAAGGCAGGAGATGCAGGCAGACAAGTCACTAAACAGAATTTCAATTTTCCTCTTTTGTTGCTTGCTTTTGTGCCTTCTTGTTTTCTGAAGGTAGAGTTTAGGTCATTCTCCCTCTTGCCATTTTGTATACTGTATAAAAAGGTTTGAACGCTTGTGAACATACATGTAGTAGATGGATGTGCAATATATGAGGTAATGCTAGAGATTTTATCAAGAATCATTTGCATTTTCATTTTTCATAAATTAAACCCTCTCCTCAATCCTGTCCAAGATTGATTTGCTGAAAAAAAAAACCTTGGAAGTACAACAATGGCAGGTATCCACCAGCATCCGGCGGTTGGGGTGTTTGGGGAAATGGTCTATGCAAGGGTGTTTGGAAACTCAGAGAGCTTATATGCGTACCCAAATTCATATCACTTAACGGGAAGTAGCAGTCCGAGGCTGAGAAGGCAGGAGATGCAGGCAGACAAGTCACTAAACAGAATTTCAATTTTCCTCTTTTGTTGCTTGCTTTTGTGCCTTCTTGTTTTCTGAAGGTAGAGTTTAGGTCATTCTCCCTCTTGCCATTTTGTATACTGTATAAAAAGGTTTGAACGCTTGTGAACATACATTTAGTAGATGAAATGAGATGTGCAATATATGAGGTAATGCTAGAGATTTTATTAAGAATCATTTGCATTTTCATTTTTCATAAATTAAACCCTCTCCTCAATCCTGTCCAAGATTGATTTGCTGAAAAAAAAAGAACATTGTATAATTTGATACAAATGTTCTTAAATTAGATAATATTTTTTGCCAAATAGTTACCATTGCAACAATTAGGTAAAGCTAAAGGTAAGGGTAGGGTGTTGTTTGTCTACATGCGATTATCTTTTTAATATAACCCAACTTGGCAAGATTGACCATAAAAAGAAGAAGTTGGCAAAAAATTAAATTGGGTCCCTATTTATTTACTGAAAAAGCCAAAGTCGAAGTGGCTCTAGCTAAAGCTGGTTTTAACTGCTTTCGGGAAGAGAGGGGTCCATATAGCCGACAATCATTTAACGGAGGGTCTATTTTAAACCAACTGGGTCACATGCAAACTCACTCCACTCACCGCTACAATCCCAATTGCAACTAGAGGCCAAGAAAAATGAGCTTTTATCATAAGCTTGAACAGAAAATACATAAAAACAGAAACCATAATTTACCCAACAAATGAAATAAATTAAATACTTGAGGGATAGATGCACGGTTTACTTGAGGGATAGATGCACGGGCCTTATTGCTCAAGTGGTTTAGAATATTTGTTAGCTCGAATACTCCCTTTCCAATATCACTTGTTAAACTTAGCAAATAGCAAAAATCAATATTTTGGGTGGGGGGGGGGTTCATAAAAAAATTGGGAGAGAGTGGGAGGTGGGTTGAGCCAAAAAGGAGAATTCAACAGGAAAGATAGGAGAAAATATGGATGCCTCATGATGGGCTAAAGTGATTCCATCGAAGCCAATAGGTTCCCGCCATAATGATGATGGTGGATTCCCTTTACCCCCTATGATATCCAGAATAGAATCAAATCCTAGTGGGGCTTCTTTCCTCCAATATAACCAGACATAAAAAGAAGAAGTTATTCTATCAAATCTCACCTCACAAAGTTGGTAGGAGGAGCCAAGAGATGGTCACAAAAGTCCTGAACAATTGGTTCAACTATATACTTACCAATCCAACTTCTCATTAAAGTGTACAAGCAAAAACAACATTTTTAATATTCCCAATTCCTAATCAAAAGCTGTTGGCCAAACTATTGAATTTCCTTTGTTTTGCATTATTAACCAAAAAAGTCCAAATGAAAACAATGGTGATATTGTAACGAGGCAACAAATTTGAAAATGTAAATAATTGTTCAATCAACCCAAACATTGGATCCAAGAAAATGAAGTGATTGGCGAGACACACCGATTTGTGCGTCGTCAAATTGGCAACCCTAAATAATGCGTTGGCGATAATGTTGTTGGTATGTGTCATCAATTTGGCCACCCAACTTCAACGGGCAGCGATGAATCTTTTTCCCTCGGTGTAAAATTATACGCACCATCAATCAAACAAACAAATCCAATCAAAACGACAAGCGACTTTGCTTTTTGACTTGGGTTGTCATCATTTACTTTATGCAATATTTGTGGGGTAGCTGCTATGTGTTTTGTCACAATTTATTTTGTTCAAATTTATTTGTGCCAAAAATACATGTGCTTATAATGTCCACTTATTATTGTCGTTTAACATTCAATGATGATAAATAAAATAACATATATTTCTAAACGATATAAATAAATAAATATAGTGGAAGTGGAGTGTTTGTTGATTAAAACTTTAAAACTTTTTTGGTACAGAAGTTGATTGCAATTGAGGAGAGAGTTGGTGTTTTTTTTATAATAAAAAAATAATATAAGCAATAGTATAAACTACAAGGGGATGAGAGTTTTTCACACACACTACCACAATGCCATGGGGGTTGGGGGTTTGAACATGAAACCATTAGTCTACAAATTAAGACTATTTTTCATTGGGCTTAAACTCCATTGGCGAATGGACCCCTCAAGTGGACCTTCATATTAGCCACATGATCATTTCATTGAACTTAAGTGAAGTTACTATTCAGATAAATCATGTGGTTAATATGGATGTCCACATCTATGGCCCATATATGATACCCTCATCATAAAACAATAAAGAGATAGTGAATGAGGTATGGGCCTCGCTCTTTATTTAATTATTTATTTTGACAAGGCCCTCATTCTAATACGAAATGGTTTTAATTCATTCTTGATACAATTACAAGTATCAAGGCCAACCCAAGAAATAGGCAACATAGTCATGGCCCATCCCGATCCATTGTTTGAAATTTTGGGCCGACCAAAGCAACCCAAACCCAACCCAAGCAAAGTCCACATACAAAGAAAAGTTAGATTTTTCTTTTTCAGTTCTTTGATATTTTAGAACTTAGATACAAGACCCAATATTCCTAGTAAACTTGTGGATCAAATAAAAGCCTCCTATTTTGGAAGGGTAGGGTTTTTATTTATTTATTTTTCTTCTGTTTTTGGATTATTATGATACCTTTTTCGTTTTTGAATGAAACTTATTTAAAAACAGAAAATAGAAGTGTGTGCCAAAACAATAACATCTTTCACACGGAAGTAACTTTGCCAGACACAAGTAACTTTGCCAGACCCTTCCAAAATTGGGTCAGAGTCCGCGGCCCTTTTGATCATCTTTAAATTTGTTGAATCTGTTGTCGGGGTGTACCTTTTGGATGACTGATGAGTAAACAATCATTCAATGCACCCAAACGAAGGATAATTTTCTAATACCCCACTACCTGAGCTTTTATTGGGAAATAACATTATGCCCCTTGCCTAATCCCATTTTTCAAGTTTAGTCTACTAATTTTAAAAACAATATGTTGTTAGTCTGGTCAAATAATAGAAATTTTTTTTTGACCAGAAATTCATCAGAAATTAAAAACTACACGTGTCATTGTCCATTGGGAAAATAATGCAATTTCTATGCCTCCGTCTGCTCTTGATGCATCTTCCAATCACAATATATACCATAAACAAATGTGTGTGTTGCTAATTGGGGCATTTGGGAAAGTTTTTTTTTTTTTTTTTTTTGGATAGGATTGGGAAAGTTGCATTGCATGCTTTCCCAAAGGAAACTTAAAGAAATAGCGGCCCACCTTCCACGGTATTAGCTAGTAGTTTCCAAAACCTACATACACTTTGGTAGTGATATAAATAAGAGCATGTAGCAAAATATTAAGGAACCCTTTGGTAACCCATAAATTTTCAGGAAAAACAAAAACCAGCAATTTATGGCTGCTACAACTTCTTCAGGCCAATCTCCGAGGACAAGAAGCCCTGCCCCTTTCTTGTCCAAGACATTTGATTTGCTAGAAGAAGGTGCAGCAGAGGAAGGAGATAGTGGAAAGAAGATTGTGTCTTGGAATGCAGAGGGCTCTGGATTTATAGTTTGGTCTCCTGCTGAGTTCTCAGAGCTTTTGCTGCCTAAATATTTCAAGCACAATAATTTCTCCAGCTTCATCCGCCAGCTTAATACCTACGTAAGTCGTCGTCTTTTCCTTGTTATTCAACAATTGTCGTCCATGAGATTCGCGCTAGGCCTCTCTTTCTTTTACTCATCTTTGATCAAGTCTTTCTGATTACTTAGAATGCTTTCTGGTTATTTTTGATCAGTTTCTCAAGAACCCAGTATTTCATATGGAAATCATAAATATTTTGAGTGATGGATTTTCTTTCTTTTCTTGTGTGTACCTCACCATGTACACAGCAGTCAAACTAAGCTAAAAGAAAATATAATACTGTGGAGAAAGTCAAAACATTTGAAAGTTGCAATTGGTCAAAATAATCACGCTCTGCAGACTGATTTATAGTATCATACAGGTCCTTCATCTATAGACAGTAACATAAAAAAAGCGTGCACCTCTCTCTGCCATATCCTGTTTTTACTGTTTAACATTTTCTTCTTATTTTACCTAACCAATAATGTACTTTATATCTTAATGATTTTCAATCATTTATGTTCCTATCAATGTGCATCCGTGTGTGTATTTTAATTACAGGATAGTCTAATTAGGAAGCATTAGCAACAATGGTCAAATTTGGTTTTGGAATAAACAATTCTATGCACCTTCGAAACAACGTTTGTCTGATGCTAAAAGTCCAAAAACAAAATTGTTGTCTCAATCCATGCATAATTGGAGAGTTTGGTTGGCTTTTCGATTTATGAATCTGACCCTTGAAGCCAAAAGCAGGGGTTCAAGAAAACATCACCAAAACAATGGGAATTTAAGCATGAAAAGTTCCAGAAAGGCTGTAGGCATATGCTGGTGGAGATCACAAGGAAGAAATGTGAGCCAAGTGCATTTCCAGTGTATCTAAAGGCTTCAGAAGAGAGTGGTAGTAGCAACACAGCTGTGGCTGCAGCAGAGGAAAATAATTGTTTGCTGTTAATGGAGGAGAACAAGAACCTCAGGAAACAGAAACTGGAGCTGCAGATGCAAATATCTCAGTTTAAAGCCTTAGAAATGAAGCTGTTGGATTGCCTAGCTCAGAATATGGAAGATCATCACAATAAAGTTCGATGCTGATGAAACGAATTAATAATGGGAGTTAATTTTGGTACGAGTGTTTGTATCAAGGTCCAGGAATTCAAGCATATTTGATCATTGATGCTGCTGCTGCTTGTCCAGAATTATACAGAAAATTTGAGATCAAAGGGTTTAGGAAAATAACCATATCAAGCTAATCAGAATCCAAACACAACTTTAATTTTGATAATTAGGTCAATCACGTTCTTCACGTCTACCTATTCTTGGTTTTAGGTTCCATCCAAGATGGATGGATGGAAAACAAATGGAAATACTTGACAAACCAAGGCAGTTGGTTCACATTCTTAATTTGAATTATTCAGACTTTCTACCTGTGTGTGATTGTCTACAACTATTATTAATGCTAGAGACACCAATTTTTTGTACTAGTTTGATATAACATTGTTTTCCTTCTGAAAACGCTCTGAACTTTATTTATTCGCATGAGTTGGAGTCCAAAATTAGTGTAATAAGTTTTATCGCTAATAATATTTTTTTTATAACAAACGACTTCGTGAGCGGAGTTCTGTTTGGTGGGATGTGAGAAGCCGATCAATCAGCAATGCAATAGGCCGGTTGACATCCCTCCACAAAACAGCTCCATGAGCCCAAGTCTAAAACTTCTCACCGAGCCCAGGCTTAACTAGCCGCAACCCAAAGCCCAATTTCTGAAACATTTTGCCTTCTTCTCTCATTAGCTCTTCATTTTTCTTTGTTTACGAAAAGGCCCTTCGTTTTCCTCTCTGATTCTTCTCCTCCCAGCTCTCAGCTCCAAACTCTAAACCCCAACTCATGGACCCGAAGCTCTTCGCCAAAACCCTAATCCGAAGTGCGATGACGAGCAGGTCCTACTACACGAGCAGGACCAAGAAGCCGACCCTCTACACCAAAATCAGTCCGCTTGGAAATCCCAGCTTAAACATGGTTCCAGAACTGGACGACTGGGTGTACAAGGGCCACAAGGTCCGTGTCGCCGAGCTTCAGCGCATCATTCACGACCTTCGCAAGCGCAAGCGCTTCTCCCAAGCCCTCCAGGTTTCCATTTTTTTTTCTCTTCCCTTGCATTATCCCCTGTTTGGTAGCTCAGAAAATGTGGTGTGGGAGAGAGAAAGTTAACTTAAATTTAGTTATAAAAAAAAAAGAGAGAGTGAGGTAAATGATTGTGTTTGTGTATGTCCAATTAATTGGAAATTCTTGTGCTTTTGTAATAATACTTTATAGGGTGCAGATTTCTGAGTGGATGAAGCAAAAGGGCATATGCATATTCTCGCCGGTTGAACATGCTGTGCAGCTGGATTTGATTGGCAAGGTTCGCGGGTTTGTTTCCGCGGAAGAATATTTCAACAATTTGAGGGAGGAAGATAAGAACTTGAAGACATATGGTGCTCTTTTGAATTGCTATGTCCGGCAGCTCCAAACGGACAAGTCCCTCGCTCATTTGCGCAAAATGAAGGAGATGGGATTTGCTTCCTCGCCTCTGACTTACAATGGCATCATGTGTTTGTATACGAATGTTGGCGAGCACGAGAAGGTTCCCGGTGTGCTAGCTGAGATGAAGGAGAACAATGTCCCTCCCGACAACTTCAGTTATCGAATCTGCATCAATTCGTACGGCGTGAGGTCTGATCTTGAAGGAATGGAAAAGGTTTTGGAAGAGATGGAGAGCCAGCCTCACATTGTCACGGACTGGAATACTTATGCTGTTGTAGCCAATTTCTATATAAAAGAAGGCCAAACCCATAAGGCAATTAATGCCCTAAAGAAGTCGGAAGAGAGGCTGGATAACAAAGATGGGCTTGGCCACAGTTATTTGATTTCACTCTATGCCAGTATGGGGAACAAGGATGAAGTTTTGAGATTATGGGGTCTTGAGAAGAGTGCTTGTAAGAGATGCATAAACAGGGATTATATCAGCATGTTGATATCTCTGGTGAAGCTTGGGGAGCTCGATGAAGCTGAGAAGGTAGGGACGGAGTGGGAATTGTCCGGAAACTGTTATGATTTTCAGGTGCCACAGACTGTTATTATAGGGTACACAGTAAAGGGATTGTATGAGAGAGCAGAAGCAATGCTTGGAGACTTAATGGAGAAGGGGAAAGCAACCACCCCTAAAAGTTGGGAAATAGTGGCGGCTGGATACGTGAATAAGGGTGAGACGGAAAAAGCTTTTCAGTGCATGAAGGCTGCTCTCTGTCTGTCTGCAGAGAAAGGATGGAAGCCTAACCTTGGAGTGAGCACGGCCATACTGAGTTGGCTTGGTGATAAAGGCAGTGTCGAAGATGTGGAAGCTTTTGTTGGGTTACTGAGGAATGTAATCCCAGTGAACAAGCGGATGTATCATGCCTTGTTGAAGGCATATATAAGAGGTGGTAAAGAAGTAAATAGTGTTTTGGACCGTATGAAAGCTGATAAAGTAGAAGATGATGACATAGACACAAAGAAAGTCCTTGCCATGAGGGAAAACTAGTTTTGATAACACAATTTCTTCTTGTTCTTTCAATTTAACTCTCATAAGATTAAAGTATTTCAATTATTTTCTTGGTTGAGAAGAAATAGTAATATCGAAGCATATCATTCAAGCTGGTGCAATCACACAACAATTGAACTATGTAGCAATATGGCTGTCTGAATATAATTGATGCATTCTAAGTTCCAAGTTCCAATTGGAAAATGTGAGACATGCAACTTTCATTTCTCTATGGGTTAATGGCAACATACGACTATTAGACACTAAAACCAAGCAAGAACTGATAAACTTCATGATCCTGCTTAGAATTGATAACTAATCCCAAGCTTGCAATCATTGATTACACAACAAAGCATACGAAAGGTTTTAACAAGAAGGCATCTAAAGCAAACTTTGGAATGCGTATAATGCCAGCAGACACCTCACATCAGAATACAAATTCAACTCTTGTCTGGTATTATGATAAAACTAGGCTATGTTTCACTCTGTCAGGGTAGATTTAAGCTCTCCATTGTTTTTCAGCTCCATTATGATATCGCAACCTCCTATCAGCTCACCTTTGTAATAAAGCTGAGGAAAGGTTGGCCAGTTCGAGAAGACTTTAAGCCCCTGCCTTACATCCTCATCACTTAAAATATCAAAGGAACCAAAACTCACACCCTCTTCTCTAAGGGCATTGACGACTTTGGAACTAAAACCACATCTGGGAGCATCTGGTGTACCCTTGATGAAGACCATCACTGGTGAAGTAGTAATCAATTTCCTTAAACGATCTTCAAGAGTATCTTTCGGAACAATCCCTTTCTCTGCCAAAACCTTCTTAAGTTCCCCACTCTTTTGCATCTCCAATACAATATCTGACCCACCAATTAGTTCACCTTTAATGTATAGTTGAGGATAGCTGGACCAGTTTGAATAAACTTTGAGCCCTTGACGGACTTCTTCGTCAGAGAGGATATCAAAACTCTCAAAGTCCACCTTTTCTTGCACAAGGATATCGACCACCTTCCGGCTAAAACCACACTTGGGTTCATCTGGTTTTCCCTTCATAAACAGCATAACAGGGCTTGAATGAATCAGGCTTTCGAGTCGGGAGGTTAGAGTTTCACTCAAACCAGTAGATGCTGAGATTCCGCCCTTTCCACTTCCAGCTTCAGTTACTTCTGCCCCAGCAGAATCAGTAGTATCAATTCCATGGTCTCTAAAAACTTCCTCTAATTCACCATTCTCATGCATCGAAATTGCTATGTCACACCCACCAAGAAGCTCCCCTTTGCAGTAAAGCTGTGGAAATGTTGGCCAGTTAGAATACTTCTTTAACCCCTCTCTGACTTCATTGTCCAAAAGAATATCGAAACTTCCAAATTTGACCTTCTCCTCCTTCAAAATGTCAACAACTTTTTGGCTAAATCCACATTTGGGCTCCTCAGGGCTTCCTTTCATGAAAAGCATGACCGGATTAGACTCAATCAGCTGTTGCAGCTGCCTTTTCAAGGCATCAGCAGGGCCATTTTGTATTTGAATCTGCACCTGGGAAGATCCATTTTCTTTTGCCAACGCTTGGACTGTTTCAAGTATAGTAGGTCCAGCAGCCATCCCAAGGCTTGCAGGAGCAGCAGGTTCTCCAGGCCTAACGGACCCAGCAATCCTAGCGACCTTATTGGCCAAGCTAGATGGATCTGCACCTTCTAATGTATAAGCGACCTTTCCATCCTGACAAAAGAAAAAGCACAAACAGAAAAGGATGAAGAGAAGAAAAAGATACAGAACAATAGGATGTTCACAACATAGTCCATGGATAGTCATTCAAATGATACAGGTTTATAACATAAGGCTTCTTTTAATATCTGACGTTCACATCAGAGTCCAGGCCATTGTCCTCAGATCCTAGTCCTTCTCCAGTCACTCAAACAAACAGATGATCCTATTGAACATCTACCACCCACTCTCACATTTTGAGTTTGGCATCATAATCTGAGCCTATTAATACTTAAATCTCGTTATAAACAATCATACTGCCACTATTATCATATACTTAACAATAACAGCAAACCCCAAAACTCAATTTGAAACGACCAGCCACAGAAAATAACTAGCCAATAGCAGCAACATACTGAAAGTGTGATGCAAACTAAATACCCCACATCCACAGAACCTGATTGTTTAATTGCACAACTTTGTTACTGCATTTAAAAGGTGGAAACAATATATCCTCACATCATCCAACCTAAATATGATTACTCAAAATCAGCCAGCATCAAATCAAAAAAGAGACATGTATAGACTACCCAATAAGCATACCTTCACAAAGGCAAAGTAGGGCACAGCAGAAACCGAATAAGCCTCAGATATCTCAGGCTGTTCTTCAGCTTCAACCTACAATATTTATCAGCAATTGGAGATTAAAATTAAAATACCAACACACACACACACACACACAAAACACCAGAAAACAAACCCAGTTAGAGATGAGAAGAATACGTACCCTTAAGAAATGGGCATGAGGGAAATCAGTAGAGAGGTGGGCAAAGACCTCGTCCATGTGCTTCGAAGCCTCACACCACGAGGCCCAGAAGTGCAGAATAACGGGTGCGCCACTGTGAACCGCGCTATCAAGCTCCTTCTTCGATTGCACATCTTTCACAGAGCCACCCATCGATAACGGAGTCTTCTAAATTCGAAACCCACAAACCAGAACAAAGAGAGAGAGACAGAGAAAGAAAGAGGCAAAGACCCTTTTGATTTTGAAGCTTATATCAGAGAATGGCCACAGAAAGACCTAGATGACGGAGTGGGACGAATCATGGAGGGTCTACGATAGATGGGCATATCATCTCTCACCGTCGATTTTTTTCTGCGACTGATTCCTCTATAGGTGGGTCCTATCCCAATCCCACGATATTGATTGGTGAATTAACGTTGGGCACTAATATTATGGGTATTTTAGTCTTTTGGGCCTGATAGTTGTGTCAACTGGGATTAGGGCAGCTAAAACAGGTGGCCCTGATTTTTATGAATTGCATTTTCAAGGCTAACAAAATTTGGGATTGTACCGAGTGGTTTACCTCAGTGGCCAGGTCCCATCCTTTTTCCCCCCTTGTTCACCTGTTCAAATTCCAGGATAAGTGCCCCCCTCCTCAATGTAATGTATTTATTGCTAATTCTAAAAAAAAAAAAATTGAGATTGAGAATTAGAGAGGTAAAGTGCCCTTTGTGACAAACAAATGTTTCCTGGCCATAAATACTGTTAGATGAAAAATATAAACCATTTATTAGGTGAATTAATTCGTATGTAGTCTCACAATCTAACAATATATCATATTCATAAAAGAATAATAGCCGTATGATAATAATATGAAAAGCTCAAACCAAAAAAGAGTTGACAATATATAAAAGATAAATTATCTTGATTTCAAACAAAAAATGCAATATTGTCTTATTTAAAGTCATTACATTGCAAATGCCTCAGTATCTTTTATTCTTTCCAAATTAAAATCACATTTCGTAAAAATTTAGTGCTTTCTTTTGTGCAACTTTTCAATTGTGTATTATAATAAAAAAGAACTTCTCTTGTTGGGCAACCTTTCATTAAAGTTGTTATGTCACACCAACTATGGGGCTTCCTTTCGAAGTAGATATGTGTAATAGTGGCCAATTAGAATACTTTTGTATTCCCTCCGTGACTTCATTGTTCAAAAGATGATCAAAACTTCCAAATTCCACTTTATGTTTCTTCAAAAGGTTAATAACCATTATGCTAAATTCACATTTGGGCTCATGCATATACAAAATGCATTGGTACGTACGGAGAAACATGTTCATGCAAATTGGATTTTGTATTTTTTGGGGTTTGGTACAACTTTCAACATCAGTACAAATCAGATTATGATTGTAGTAATAGTTGAGGCACTATATAATTCCAAAAAATGAACTCAGAGGAAAGTGGCATTTAAATAATAGTTCAAGTTCACAATTTAGTGTATTCATTTCACGTCAAGAAAGTAATTCCATAAAAAATTCTTAATGGAATATCATATTATTGAAAGCTACTTGGTTAATATCTCAGAGCCACTTGCCATGTTGTTCGCTAACAGAGTGTACTATTCAAAGAGAAAGTAACTCATAAAAGAAACAGAAATTAGCCAGGCAAATAGACACCCTTAAGAATCAAAATATTACATTGCAAATGCCTTAATGTATCTTTTTTTTTTCTTCATCAAAATCATAACCACATTTATGCGGTTATATGCTTAGTTTATCACTTCATCTTCTCCACTTCTACTGCTACTACCACCACATGACCAAGCTTATGGCATCATGAAAAGAAATGAAAACCCTAATGTGCCATTTGAGAGATTTATAATAATGGAGGCAGCCTAAACGTGCCCATGCGCCTAGACAGCAGTAGTCAAATGGGATATACGTACTTTTGTGCCATTAGAAACTTGCAGGACTCCTTTAGGAATTAGGAAAATTAAGCACCAAATTTGGGAACTTTGGCAGTGGAGATTTGTGCAAGGAAATGCTCGGCCACAATTCGACGTTGTATTTTCCAGAGACCATATCTTATCAGTAACTATCTGCAGATTCCAAAGAAACCCGGAATAGTTTTCCCACTTTAACATCATTGATTATCAGTAACTATCTGCAGATTCCAAAGAAACCCGGAATAGTTTTCCCACTTTAACATCAATTGAGAGAAAAAAAAAAACCTTAAATATCACAATAACATCAATCAAATTAAAAATGGAAATCAATCTATCCACAGCCATAAAACAGCTTGCAATCAAAAGTTTCACAACCCAATCTGTTGTGCCACAAAAGTCAGAAGAACTGAAAATGTCAATCCAAGCATCAAGTCTTCTTTCCGTTGGCAGTAAAAAACTTGTGAATACCCATATAGAATATATGGGGCGAGCAGTGGACAAAACTCTGTTGCTCGAACATATATGGGAGCTCTTCTCAGAAGCATGTTCACTCCCATTAAAAAGAATTAAAGTTTTTTCATCATTGGAGGCACAAGAGAAAATTTTATGTAGATAAAGACCCACCCAGGCAAAAATGCCATTAATTATTAGAAAGCCAAAAAAGAGTAACAATCAAGAAGTATATTCTAATTTCTAACCAACAATTTGATTGTTGACCATTCATAAATTAATTATCTCAATTTTGTGAGTTGATTTCATGGTCTCTGGAAACTTCCTCTGATTCACGACAACCACACTCTAAAGTGCCTATGTAATGCAAACCACAAGCCTTCCCTTCCATGTAAAGCTGCGGCAATACTGGCCAGTTAGAATATTTCTGTATCCCTTCCATGACTTCATTGTCCGAAAGAACATCAAAACTTCCAAATTTGATCTTCTTTTCCTTTAACGTGTCAATTGCCAGTTTGCTGAATTTACATTTGGGCTCCTCATGGGTTCCTTTCATAAAAAGCATGACTGGATTAGAGTCAATCAGCTACTGTAACCGCCTCTTCAAGAGTCATGTTGTGGCAAAGATGAAGGAAGCGCGATTCTGAAGATTGATAGGAAACGTGCACATCGAAGAAACTAAACCAGGCCTTCTTTGTTTTAGTTTGACTTCTGTTGAAAGTCTTTAATGGTGCGTTTGGATGAGGAAAATAAACTTGGGATTTTAACAAAACTCAGGATTTCTAAATTGACATAAACCAATTCCCATGTTTGGATAAAAAAAACATAGAAATTTAGAAATTCCACGTGAGAAAAAACATGGAATTTGGAGATCATAAATCCCAACTTTAAATTCTATCTAAAAGTCGTCATTTCTAAAATCCCAAAAGAGATTGAGTTTTAAAAAAAGATAACTTTACAAATAAAGATTAAATTCTGTGTTTTAAATCCGTCACCCAAACAAGAAATTTTACAAATTCTAAAACATTAATTTCTGTCATTTTAAATTCCGTCATTTATGAAATCCTTTGTACTTTTAAATTTCCTCATCCAAACGCACCATAAACTCATTAATTTCTGTCATTTTAAATTCCGTCATTTATGAAATCCTTTGTACTTTTAAATTTCCTCATCCAAACGCACCATAATATTATATGTTCTCTAACCAAAATCAATATGATGTTGTCTAAGCGGTTGATCAATATGCTGTTGACTTTTTTTTTTCTTTTTTCTTCTTCTCATTTGTTTTAAAAAAAAATTATTTTTATTAAATTATTATTTTTTCTTTTTTTTGCAAACTCGAGGAGGAAGTGACTATGCGAATAACTCAAAGAAGGATAAGTTATGATTTGTTTGTTTAATTAATAATTTAATATACGCAAATAACTCAAGGAAGAATCAAGCGGCACGGTTTTAGCTTTTGGAGGAGCCCTATAATATTACTTTCTCTTGTGTAACCTTTATATTGTGTATTCTAACTAACTATTTGATTGCTGATCATTCATAACTTTGTAACCTCAATTTTGTGAGCGACTTGATTTCATTACTTTTTAATGAAAGTTAAATGCTTCCGATTAATATTGTCTAATTGGATTAGTATTTTTCCGGCATTTCGCCTTCAGTCCACTTAATCGATTCTTCATGCAGTAGCTTCAAAACCTGTAAATGGAAAAAAAAAAAAAAAAAAAACATATGCCAAGTATAAAGCATTGTTCAAACAGATGCAGCAAGTAATTATGAACCAGTCTTACCAATATTCTCGTCCACGAGATCCTTTTGAGATCCCTTCCTCTTGTGTATCAATGATGACCTCAAGACACTAGATTGCTGACGAGAAGACAACAACAAATAATTCCAATTAAGAAGAAAACAAAGTTCAAAGAATAACTAGGAACATAAGAAAATTCCAGAAAATGAAGAAATTTGACACTTCAAAAGACGTATTGCCTCCTTGGCACATGCAAGTCAAGCACTATTTCACCTCAGAGCTTTACGAAGAACTTGGTAGTTATCTTCGTCATCTGCTCTGCAACTCTAGCACCTACACTTTATTTATGAAGGAAAATACAAGCAAGCATATAAATTCCTAGGAGCAGTTTACCATTACTATAAAAACCGATCCCAACATTTCCCTCCAAAAAGAACCAGGGAAATGAAGTTTCCCCCAAATATAATAGACAAGGATGATGTCAATATTTCAATCTGAAATGAAATCATTTGGAGGTTCAACCACTAGTTGTCCAATATCTATCCGTTTCCTTTATTGTTCTTCTTGGTAGCTTCTCTGGTCTCTCCCCGGGTCTCTCAGAAGCACTGAATAAAGCAGCCAACCTTCCTTCTGGAGATCACTAGCAGTATGGATTGTTATGTCTAATACCAAATGGAAGTACTTTGTGTCTCAAATCCTAATTAGTATGGATTGTTATGTCTAATACCTAATTTTTCTTAAATTTGTAGCCTACTAGCAGCGGGTGCAAGAGCATAGCATATGAAAATACGTGAACATTCAAGTGTGAGGAGCAGAAACCATGGCTTTTTAAATTTTCTGTTTACTCTTTATTTGCCTGAAGTGGGATATGAAAATACATGACATAAGCAATTAACAAAATTAATATGAAAATGTACAGTTTACTGGTAGACTCAAAATTGAAAAACTTTAATCAATCAATGTGTATCAGGATATGCTCCAAGTAAGAATTGAAATATTTAGAACGTTAAAAAGTGTGGAAACAATAGTCCTTATTGTATTGATAACCAAGAAATATTGATGATATAAATTTTATGAATGGTTTATAGGCAAGTCCCAAACTGATATTGTGTATGTATTTGCACTTGATTACTATGTGCCATTGGCCTATGTCCATAACAAAATCGTGAGACTAATTAATAAGAGCTTCATGTAACATCATACAGAGGGGAATGTGATTGGATTGGAAGTATATATGCAAGAGTCACAAACAAGACTCACAAACTTGAAAAGAAAAGGAAAAGGAAAAACCACATTAATTAACTTCCTTTATTTGGGACTCAAAATCACCAAAATATTCCTGCTCTAGTTTTTAATAATAATTTATTATTTAATCAAGACTGAAATGGAAAAAATAATATTGATTAATATATGGTCATAATTCAATCAAGCCAAACCACCTATATAACATGTAAGTAAGAAACGCATTCTTTCTCCTCTCACAATTCACCATAAACCCAAATCCAAACCGGCCGTCGTTTTTTTCTCACACAAGCGCAAAGCCAAACACCAAACTCTACACAGCCATGGACAAAGTTTCATCTTCGGAGTGCCTGAAATTGGATTCCCAGACGGAGGTGTTCGATAAGGAGGGCGGTGGAAAAGACCTTTTCTCGCCAGCTATGGTTCCCCTCAATTGCGATACGCCAATAATCGGTATGTATACATGCTTTTCTTTTTTATTTTAATTCAAGGACCAAGACTATCTGCAATTTAATTACCTCGGCTTTAAATTTTATGCCACAACTTTTCTGTATGAAAATTTATCTTTTTACATTGAAAATATTTAATTTTTGGTCTATCTAGTAGCAGGGACGGAAGGGTCCAGTGAGCCTCCACTCTGTAATATTGTTATGTACTTCCTTATGTCCTGTATGCTATTGATTTTTTGTTTTTTTGTTTTGTTTTAGGGTTTGTGGAGATTATATGAAATTTGATTCTTTGGAAAAGAGAAAGTGTCGTTTTTATTTTATTTTTGTTGCTGTAATTAGAGGATATATATTATGCCAATTTGAATCAATTTTGAAAGATGATTTTTCCAGCAAAGTTATTATGGTGTGTGTCTGATGGAAAGCTGATATTTAATAATATGGCTATTTGTTGATGGGATCATAGATGTCATTCCTTCTAACTTTTCTCCTTTTTTTTTGGTCTTTAACAATGTAATTTCATGCAAACAGATAACAACTCTAAAGAACCAGAGACTGAACCATGGACTATAGACATAACAGAACTAACGGAAGAAGAACTTCGTACTTATTTTCATGTGTTCAGGGGCCCTCCTAGTCATAGAGGTATGCTTTTGTTATTTTTTTTTGTGTCAATACAAGCGATATTCTAGCCCTAATTCTATTGGTATGCTCTCTATTTTAGAGACAAGAGGTTCTCTATTTTATGACATAATATCTATGCATTTGTTGTTATTCTTTGTCCTGTTGAAAATAGCTCACATGTTAAAAAGACGACTTCTCCAGCCAAGTTATTTTGGTGTTTGCATGATGTATAATCGATATTTAATAATAGTTATTTGTTGATGGGATCATAGATGTCACTCCTTCTAACTTCTTTGACATCGTCACCCTTTTCCTTCTTTTTTCTTTTTGTGTTTAACAATGTAATTGCATGGAAACAGGAGGCAAGTCTGATGAATCAAAGGCTAAAGAATCAGCGACTAAAGAATCAAAGGATGAAAGAAAACGTTATATTGGTATGCTTTTGATTTTTGATTTTTGATTTTTTTTAATACAAGCGATAGTCTAACTATATTATTTGTAAGTGATAGCGTCCTCTCTCCTCCCTCCTAATCTTCTTGGTAAGCTTTTGATTTTAGGGACAAAAAAAAAAGAAGAAAAAAAAGTGCATGCAGCTTTTCTAATTACATTATATCTATGTATTTGTTGTTATTCTATGTAATGTGCTCACAATACTGATTTTTGGGTTTTAACATATCTTCATTCATTCGTTGTCTTTAAAAAATGATTATTTGTATTGCTTTCGTTGTATTTAACAATGGATCTACAAATTGCACACAGGTGAATGTCAGTATTGTTTAAAGGTGGATGAGCACCCTACGGAAATATGCTCTTATAGGTATAAAGTCCCAGAGGATGCAATTGTTGGCGAGCGTTGTGTGGTTGCATGTCGTGTATGTGGCTGCCTCTTTAGAGACTCACGTTGTGCTGATTGTGGCACAAGCCTAGGATGTGCAATTCTCAAGGAGTGTTTAATATGTAGGAAGGAAGGTGAACACTTTACTTTTGAGTGCCCGAAATGCAATAGGAATAATGGTTTTACTTGCGATCCTTATACTGGTTGTTTTTCTGTCGAGATCTTCCCTTTGGAAGGATAGAGAATGGAGATTTAATCGTAATTTAGAGTTAAAGCAAAGGAGAGAATAGTGCTTTTTAAAGTCGTTTTTGTCATAAATGCCATGCATTCTATCATTTTGATATCTACATGGTGAGTTGTTTTTATCGTAAATGAATTGCAATTTGCAAGACATAGTCTATTATATTCTTATGCTTGAAGATGTGAGAATCCATCTATTTAGAAAATGTCTGAAGTAAAAGGTGGTTTTTATCTCAACATTTTGTTCTTCTCTTATGGGGCTAGTATACTGTATTTTGATTGAAAGGCTTGCTAGGAAACTAGGCATGAATGACCATCGTTATGTCACCATCATAGGTTCGAATTAAAATATCGAAGGTAATATTTACCCTAAACCCTAAAATGACTTTTCTTTTTCGGAAAAAGATATTGAGTTTATACACGGCTTCCTCTAGTTTCTAATACATTGTATTTATGATCGATGTATAGTGGTGTTCTGTGTTCTATGCAAGCATTGCCTGGAAATATTCCTTCATCGTACGTAGTTCGATACATCCTTAACAGATTTACAAAGAACCTGGTAGTTATCTTCATCACATCTGCATCTGCAACTCTAGCACACTTTATTATGAAGGAAAATACAAACATATACATGAAATAGACGGATAAATCACGGGCAACCACACATCAAATTAGCTAGTGCCTTAGTAGGTCTATCTTTACGATAAATCTGGATTTCATGGGAAGTGAATAAATTCCTAAGAGAAGTTTACCATTCACCATTCAAACCGATCCCAACACTCCCCTCCAAAAAATAACAAGGGAAATGAAGTTTTCCCCTATATATAGACAAAGTTGCATACCATCCTCCTTAGGATGCTGTTGATACACAACAGCTGAAATGAAATCATTTGGAGGTTCCACCACTAGTTGTCCGTATGCTCCATATGTATTCGTTGCCTTTATTCTTCTTCTTGGTAGCTCCTCAGGTCTCTCATCAGCACTGAACAAAGCAGCCAGAACTTCCTTCTGGAGATCACTCGTCTCTTTTTTCTGTTCCGTAAATTCCACTCCATTTGTATTTGAACCCTTATCTCTGTTACCTCATGAAGACGAGTGTAGACAAGTCAGACTGATTGATGGGATCGATTAGCTAACGGACACCACAGAGAAAGTCCTAACAGCAGAATATTTCCCAAACACCCTCGTCCTCTTACCCCTTCCCCTCTTCAAAATAAGAAACATAAACACGTTACACTTGGAACTATAACAAAAGATATGAAAGAAACACACCCATATCAGAGGAGTTTATGCACTTTCTCTAAGAAGATACTTCAGATTTCCGATACAAACCTGCAGACTGGACAACAATCTCCTCAAATGAGATGGATAGGGAAGGTAAATACTATAGTGGCATTTACTACGCCATGCTGGACAAATTTCAAAGACTATATCTAGTTTAAATTTCAGTGACATGTATACTGTAACAAGGTCCCCTTCTCCCCCAAAGTTCTCACAAACCAATAAGACGCGTTTACTGTCAAATATCGATGACAAGGTGCATACTCGAAATTAATTTATGCACTTAAAATAAGTGTGACATCATATTTATCTCCTTATATGCAGTTAAGAGACCCAAAAGCTTATTTACATTATAGAAATATAATTGAATAGCTTTTCCAAAAAGATTGATGCATCAGAAAACACATAAAAATCCTGCTTGGGGCTAACTTCTTAAATGCTTGGAAGTGTTACTAACCTTATCGCTGGATCTACTGACAAGTTCGTTCCTTTTATCTGAAGTTGGTGCTGGCAAATTAATCAGCTTAATTTTCCATGCTCTGAATGGTATTAAAATGAAAGTTATTGCTTTGGAGTACTCTATGTATGTATATCTTTCCAATGTCTAGCATATGAGAAAATAATTGTATAGTATCAGAAAAAATGGGGAAATTATTATGTGCATATACAATGTGCAGTAAAAACAAAAGGAAAACAAACTGCCTTTGAGGTTTCCAGAAGTAAAAGATAAAACTTTTCTTACGTAGAGGCTGTGAAAACACCACAACTTTTGACAAGATGAAATGACATCAATTGGTGGAAAGGGACAAGTTTTGAAAAATGTGGTGTACCTTTTCTATATCATATCCGCAACTATCTGCAGATTCCAAATAAACCCGGATTAGTTTTCACACATTAACATCATTGAAAAACTTAAATAACACCTTTTCTATTCCTATATATTCTATGCAAACTGCTATGTTGCCTGTTTCTGTTTGTAACAAGCTGGATCAGTTAAATAAGAATTGAATTGAATTGAACTGAACTGCTATTCCCATTACAAGACCCATTCGTCATTTAGGAATGAATTGAATTGACTGATTTTGAAAAACCTCAACATGAAGATAACGTAAACTACAAAAACAAAAACAAACAACCAAAAGTAAGCAACATGCTTTCATTGAGACACCCTTAAAAAACAAAAGAAAGGTAAACCACAAAAGTAACATAATTTAGCCACGCAAATAAACACCTTAAAAATCAATCATTACAAATGCCTCAATATCTTTTCTTCTATCAAAATCAAAATCACATTTCGCAAAAGTTCAATGCTCGATCTTGCGCAACTTTTCTATTGTGTAATCTATGCAAATTCATCATCGCTATCACTTGCGAAACCTTTCATGAAGGTTGTTATGTGATAGAAACCACGAGCCCTCCCATCGAAGTAGATATGTGGTAAATATGGCCAGTTAGAATACTTTTGTATCCCCACCATGACTTCATTGTCCGAAAGAACATCAAAACTTCCAAATTCAACCTCATACTTCTTCAAAAGTTTAACAGCCATTCTACTAAATTTACATTTGGGCTCCTCAGGGGTTCCTTTCATGAAAAGCATCACTCGATTAGAGTCAATCAACTTCTGCAATTGCCTTTTCATGGCATCATCAAGGCCAGTTTGAGCTTGAATTTGCTCCTCGGAAGATCCACTTACTTTTGCTAACTCTTGGACTATCTCAAGGTTGGTAGGTGCAGGAGCAGTAGGTTCTCCAGCCTTAACTGACCCAGCAACTTCATTGGCCAAACTAGATGAATCTGCGACCTTTCTATCCTGACAAAAGAAAACACAACCAAAAAATGACCAAGAGAAGAACAAGATACAGAACAATTGTAGAACCCAAGCCAACAACGAAATTAGTTACAAAAGTGTATCAACAAAAAAGTTCTTTTTCCAATCATCACTCAATTCATACTTGCACGCATTTCCAGTTTTGCGATCAAAGTAAGCATTATATTTTCACTGGACACCTAAGTTTCTAGTTCATCGTCCAAACTATTGATTAATGATCATAAATCCTGTGAAAAAAAAACTCAACAGTCCCAGGCTTGAGCACATGATTTATAAACACCTCAGGTTGCAGTATAACAAAGAAAACCACCATATAAAATTCTTTTGGGGTTGGATAGTCGTTCGAATTGATAAAGATTCATGTTATAACATAAGGCTTCTTTTTAAATATCTGATATACATATCCTAGTCCATAACCATAATCACATTATAGCCTGAGGCTATTAATAATTATATCTCATTAAAAACAATCATAATGCAACTATTGTCATCAATCAGTAAACCCCAAAACTCAATTTCAAACTAAATACCCCATATTCACAGAAACTGATTATTTAAATGCAGAACTTTGTTGAAAAGTGAAAACAATATATTATCACATCCAACAACTTAAGCATGCTTACTCAAAACCAGTCAGCATCAAATAACCAAGCAAACATGTATATATTATACCCAATAAGAATACCTTCACAAAGGCAGAGTACGGCACATCAGAAACCGAAAAAGACCCAGGCTGTTCTTCAGCTTCAACCTACAATATTTTTCAGCAATTGGAGATTAAAAACAAAACACCAACACACACACACGCACGCACAAACACCATAAAAAACCCAATTAGAGATGAAAAGTGGGCAAAGACCTCGTCCATGTGCTTCGAATTTGAGGGCCACACAACGCTATCAAGCTCCACCTTGGATTGCATATCCTTCGCTGATCCACCCATAGATAACAAGTCATCTAAATTATAAACCCTAAAAGCATGACACAGAGAGAGAGACAAAGATGGAGACAAAGAAATAAAAGACAATCTCTTGGACTCTTGTGGTCCAAGAGATTGTGGTCACTTATCGTTGAATGTAAATTCAATGGTTCAAAAAAGTTTCTTAAAAAGAGTACAAGAGTGAGTGAACCGTTGAATTTACGTCCAACGGTGAGTGTCCACAAATGTCTTGAACCCATGTAGTCCAAGAGATCGGGACTGACTAAAAGAAATATCCTTTATTAATTAGACTTGTAAAACAAGATAGCTTAATTAATAAGAAAAAACTAATAAATTAAATTTTAATATTAAAAATGTTAAAATAACGTAGTGGGTACTTAATTGTGCTATCTGATTTGAAGTTTTTATATAAAACTTTCGTTACTTTTTTATTTTTATTGTTAAAAAATATATTCCTTAAAAGAAGACTTTACATATCAAATATAAAAATAAAATAAAAAAGCAAATTGGCTCCTTAAGTCCGTAAATTGGCATAACATCTCTCGTCGTCGATTTCTTTCTGCGATTGATTCATCTATCGTGGGATCTAGCTAGTGGGTCCTACCTCACGATATTGATTGGTGAATTAAAGTTGGGCATAGGGGTATTGTAGTCTTCTGGGTTTGATAGTTGTTTCAACTGGGATTTGGGCTCCTAAAACAGTGGGCCTGATTTTATGAATTGCATCAAATTTGTACGACTGATTTAGAGAGAGGTTGGAAATAGACATTGTGAAAAACAAACGTTTCTTAGGCAAACGTTTCATTGGGTGAATTTATCTGTATCTTTATCATTTGTGGTCTCACAATCCAACAATACAACATGTCAGACGTTCTGATAAAACAACACAAACCGAATGACAATAATATAAGCTCAAACCCAAAAAGAGTATAAATTTATAAAAGATAAATGATGATCAACCAACATTTCAAACAAAAGCTGCAATATCATAATATTAAAGAAGTCACGACATTGCAAATCAAAAAACAACAGACGTTCACTCTTACAAGGGGCCGAAAAGGAAAAGCTTTCACTCTTCTTTCAAAATCAAAATCACATTACTTTCTCTTGCGCAACCTTTCAATTGTGTATTCTAACCAACAATTTGATTGTTCATTCATAAATTAATTATCTCAATTCTGTGAGCACCACTCTTTGAGAAACAACTTGGTTTCTTTACTTTTTAATGAAAGTTAAAAGTTTCCGATTAATACTGTCTAATTGGATTAGTATTGTTCCGGCCTTTTCCCCTTCAGTCCACTTAATCGATTCTTCCTGCAGTAGCTTCAAAACCTGTGTAAATGGAAAAAAGGATAAGCCAAGTATGAAGCATTGTTCAAACAGATGCAGCAAGTAATTATGAAGCAGTCTTACCAATACTCGTCTACGAGATCCTTTTGAGATCTCTTCCTCTTGTGTATCAATGATGACCTTAAGACACTTGATTGCTAACGAGAAGCCAACAAATAATTCCAATTAACAAGAAAACAAGTTCAAAGAATAACTAGGAACATGAGAACGTTTACTTACATGAGATTCCAGAAAATGAAGAAATTTGACACTTCAAAAGACGTATCGCCTCCTTGGCACTGCGTTCATGCAAGTCAAGCACTATTTCACCTTGTGTCTCAACGTTTCTGATGAGGAACACAGAATAAAAGAAAAAACATTAACATTGTGGGATCCTATACACCATCATTAACCAATGCCCACAGAGAGTTGAAACATACACCACAAAATTTCAACGAAAAGGATGCTAACCTTGTTCTAAGAATCATTTCATTTGACTCTTCATCCGCTTCGCGTGCCTTTTCTTGGAAAAATTTTCCCTGCCACATTACAATAGAATTCATAAATTAAAAAAATAAAAAAAAATAAAAAAACTAATAAGGTGAATTCTACACTTGAAAATTTGATATCTTATATTTTTAGCTTAGATACATGATCAAGTCCGGCTTGGTATCTGCATGAAGTGAAACTGCCCCTTGTTCAATTTTTGAAGCATGTATTTCATTTTATCCAACTGAAGAGTGTGTTTAAGAAAAGCTATTTCCAATATAGTCGTAAGATGCTAATTCATATCCAATCACTTCATGACAGCAAGTAAGCCTTACTTGTTCTAGAAGTTTGTCTGCTCGATCATGATCCTCCTTAGAAAATGCCTCTACAGCCTGGCAAAGAAAATTGATATCCTTACTCCATGTGTGAAATTTTAAGGCTGCTAAGAGAAACTACTCTACGCGTTTTATAGATCAAATAATTGCAAATAAAATACTAAACCCTAAAAAGCCACATACAGCCTGGAAATATTCCTTCATCGTAGTCCGATACTCCTTCACAGCTTTACGAAGAACCTGGTAGTTATCTTCGTCATCTGCATCTGCAATTTAGCACACTATGAAGAAAATACAAACATAAACACGAAATTGACAGATAAATCACAAGCAACCACACATCAAAATTAGCTAGTGCTTTAATAGGTCTATCTTTAGTATAAATCTGGATTTCATGGGAAATGAATAAATTCCTGAGAGCAGTTTACCATTTACCATACAAACTGATCCCAACATTGCTCTCCTAAAAAAAACAAGGGAAATGAAGTTTCCCCCATATAGACAAGGTTGCATACCATCCTCCTTAGGATGCTGTTGATACACAACAGCTGATTTGCACTCTGAAATGAAATCATTTGGAGGTTCAACCACTAATTGTCCATATGCTCCATATCTATTTTTTGCCTTTATTGTTCTTCTTGGTAGCTCCTCAGGTCTCTCCTCGGATCTCTCAGAAGCACTGAACAAAGCAGCCAGAACTTCCTTCTGGAGATCACTTCTCTCCTTTTTTTGTCCCGTAAAGTCCACGCCATTTGTATTTGAAGCCTTATCTCCACTACTACATGAAGATGAGTATAGACAAGTAAGACTGATTGATGAGATTAGCTAACAGGCACCAACAGAGAAAGTCCTAACAGCAGAATATTTCCTAAACACCCCCCTCTTTCCCATTCCCCTCTTCAAAATAAGAAACATAAATACATTACACTTGGAACTATAACAAAAGTGATGAAAGAAACATACCCTTCAGAGGAATTTATGCACTTTCTCTCAGAAGATACTTCAGATTTCCTATACAAACCTGCAGACTGGACAACAATATCCTCAAATAAGTGGATGGGGAAGACTAGATCTTATTATAGTTTAAATTTAAATGACATGTATACTGTAACAAGGTCCCCTCCTCCCCCAAAATTCTCACACAACAAGACACCTTTACTGTCAAATATCAATTACAAGAACTATAGAAAACTGCATGAGTGCATCCTCGAAATTAATTTATGCACTTAAATAAGTGTGACATCTCTTCATATTTATCTCCTTACATGCAGTTAAGAGACCCAAAAGCTTATTTACATTATAGTAATATAAATGAATAGCTTTTTCCAAGAAGATTGGAGTGTACATCATTGATGCATCAGAAAACACATAAAATCTTGTTTGGGGCTATGTTCTTAAATGCTTGGAAGTGTTACTAACCTTATCACTGGATCTAGTGACGAGTCCATTCCTTTTGTCAGAAGTTGAGGCCGGCAAATTAATCAGCTTTTCCATGCTCTGAATGGTATTTGAAAAAAAAATGAAAGTTATTGCTTTGAAGGACTCAATGTATATATTTCCAATGTCTAGCATATGAGAAAATAATTGTATAATATCAGAAAAAATGGGGAAATTATTTTGTGCATACAATGTATAGTAAAAAGATAAAGAAAACAATGTTGGGAAAAAAGCCACAAATCTGTCAAGAAACTGCCTTTGAAGTTTCCAGAAGTAAAGATAAACTTTTCTTATTTAGAGGCTGTGAAAACACCCCAACTTTTGACAAGATAAAATGACATCAATTGGAGGAAAGGGAGAAGCTATGATAAATGTAGTGTACCTTTTCCATATCATATCCGCAACTATCTGCAGATTCCAAATAACACCGCAACAAATTAGTTTTCACACATTAACATCAATCAAACTTAAAATGGAAATCAAACTATCCACAGCCATAAAACAGTTTGCAATAAAAAATTTCAAAACCCAATTTGTTGTGCCTCAGAAGTCAAAACTAAAAATGTCAATCCAATCATCAAGTCTTCTTTCCGTTAGTCAAGCAATTAGCAGGAAGCTCGTTTATGAAGCAAATTTTATTCTTTTTTCCAAAATTTATTATTAAAGAAACTGGCTTTGTTGTTGGACATATATGAAATGTCCATATACCTAACTAGAATTATGAATGTTGGCATAAATATACACTACCCCCATTTGTTCATGTTCCTACTTTTACTCTCATCTTCCTTCTCAACCAACTCACTCTTCTCCTCTGCTCTTCAAGTTTCTTACTTCCGACTCTGCACTTATAACTCCCATAACCATGAGTGTGCACAATCCTTCTAGTGTGCGGCCTGAAGGCATCTAGGCATAACTAATAAATCTGTTTGATGCTAGAGCAGATTCAAATCAGCCTTGACAGTTTCCACAATCATGCCAAAGTGATACATATTGATAGTTCATGCAGACTTATAAATCAAATGACAAGACAAATAGCAAATATTTGAAATGGAACACAAAGAGCACTTTACCAAGAACTTCTCGAATCCTCTCTCTTTCTAGCTTGAATCCATCTCCAAGCATAGTGAATAGAAAATCTTCCATATCCTGGTGGAGACCATCATCCCTTGAAGAATTAGACTCAGCCTTTTCCAGCCAAATTTCCGACATTGGCAACACCTCAGAGTCCAGCTTCAAGGGTTTGGTTGCATTACAAGACCCATTTGCTGATGGTGTTTTCTTCACATATTGTTTCCCAATAATGCTTGAAACACTGCCCCCTGAAACAGGACGATATTTGGGCTTTGAAGCCCTGGAATTCCCATTTGCTTGATATTGATATGGCTTCTTAGAGCTATTATCGAGAGATAATCGTGAAGATTCTTCTTCACCCCTTGGCTTTGCCTCACCATTAGGTGTAGACATAGCCAGAGCTTCAGCAGCATCGTCAGCATTCTTCCCAGCCTTGCAAAAAGCAGAAGCTATTTGATCAAGAGAAAACGCAGCACCAAACGCCTCAAGCAAACCCTTCAACGCCTTCTCATCATCAAAATTTGACGCCCCATTCAAACCAGAGGCCTCCATTCTCACAATTCAATCAATAACAAATTAGATTTTGAATTCAGGGAAAGACACTGACACTGAAACTGAGCAAAAAACCGATTTCCCGAACAAATTCTAGGTCTGAATTCGGAATGCAATCAAACCCACTTCAACACCAGCCACAAATTCACACGAACTCACTTCGAGTCGTCGTTTCGGTGATGTGCAATGGGAGGTTAAAGGTTGCGGCTTTTGCCACCCTAAGACGCTGGCTTTTCAAAGAGTACTTGAACAGCAGCAATGAATTGAATCGACTGATTTTGAAAAATCTCAATACGAAAATCAAAGAATGACTTTTTCGAGACACAGATGGTGAGGATTCTGTGAGGAATTAACTCATGAATGAGTTATGAGTGCGAGTGGACGGAGGAATGATTTTGAGTTATATATAAATAAAAAGAAGATAAAAGTAAACTAAAACAAAAACAAAAACAAAGCAACAAAAGTAGGCAACATGCTTTTGGCGCCTTCGCTATTGCTTATTGGCACAGTCCAACTCTGATTCGGCTTTCTTCCTTCCAAAGCACGTTCCTTCCGAAGGAAGTTCTTGCAAAAGGACTCTGAATTTTTGGGCCTCCGAGTGATTGAAAATGTATAATGGTGGGTGATGTTGATAGCCGACGGATTAGACCAGTCGATTAGAGCAATGTGGCCGCACTTTATATCATCGGATCGTTGAAGCACTAAAAAGGAATAGGTCCTCAAGAAAGAATGTCCCTCAAATAAACATAATTCCCTTATAAGGTAGTTTTACAGATTACTTGGAAACTTTAATTTGGGACTAATTACGTAATACTAGAGAGCATACATGATGATTCACATTCATCAATGACGAGAGTCAAGCGTATCTAAAATAAATTGGTACGCATATTAATTTTTCGTATCTAAGTTGATACACAATACCAAATCGAGAAATGAAGGAAAACAATATACATTAAGAACTAAATTTTTTTCTTCTTCATGTAATGCTAGTTAAATAAGTTAGTCACATGTTGAATTAATGGTTTTGACACTAACCGATCATTTTATTACTCATGCCAACAAATTGTATCATTTTAGGGTTGATATCAAGTATTAATAATCAACAATAACCCGCTAATTTCATGTCAGGTTCAAATTGTGTTACCGTATCGTATGGTGTTCAAAAAAATTGTTCATATATGATAGGGTTACTCAATTTCTTTCGATAAGAATCTATGCCGTAAAGAAAACAAAATTGAATGGGGGTGTTGTTTAAGGTTCAATCATCACACACACATACACTTAATTCTGCTTGCTTGTATGCAGAAACTTTCCCAGTTTTTTGTTTTGAATTAGTTCAACAAAACCAATCTTCAAAACTTCTTCAACTAATTTTATTATAAATCCCCAATTAAAAATAAACAGACGAGTAGAATAGAGAGGCAAAAACATGCATGACCACTTATGGGTGGGCTAAAGGGTCATTTATATATTGATTAACATCATAGAGCCATAAATTGTTTGATTTGGTTTGGTTTATAGAGATGGAAGATGCAATTACAACGCGTAATTCTCTTGTCACATAAACACCATGATACCCTGGTTTCCATAACCAAATGCAGAAAATTCATTTGCTTGCTTCCTGTTTTGCTCAACCAACTGCCAGTTTTATGCCATTTTCATTGAAACAAACTATGCAGACCTTACTATAAAAGCCCTTTAACATGCAGAACAAGCTTAGGCAACAGAAAATAGCTAGAGATGGCAACACCAAAATGGGCTTCCATAGCCTACTTGATATTGCTTAGCTGGGGAGTTACCTCTGCTCTTAGGGTTATTACTGGCAAGGAAAAACAAATGGTTGATCAACCAGAGAAGTTTGTCTTAGGTGGACAAATTGGAGGAGGGCTTGGTGGACAGATTGGAGGAGGACTTGGTGGTGGACAGATTGGAGGACTTGGTGGAGGTATTATTGGAGGTAGTATTAGTTTCGGTCCAGGTTTTGGTATTGGAGGTAGTATTGAAGGTGGGATTTCCAATCTAGGTGGTGGTAGTAGCGAAGGTGAGGGTAACGGCGGTTGCCAAGGTCATGGTGCTTGTAGTGGCCAAGGTGGTGGTATTGGTGGTGGCCAAGGTGGTGGTATTGGCGGTGGACTAGGTGGTGGTATTGGCAGTGGCCTAGGTGGTGGTATTGGTGGTGGCCAAGGTGGTGGGGTAGGTGGTGGTATTGGCAGTGGCCAAGGAGGTATTGGCGGCGGGGGAGGTGGTTGCATTGGAGGTGGCCAAGGTGGTGGTATTGGCGGTGGTATTGGTGGTGGTGAAAGCGGTGGTGAAGGCAGTGGTGAAGACGGTGGTAATTGCGGCAGCCAAGGTGGTGGTGGTGGCAGTGGCAGTGGTGAAGGCGGTGGTCCAGGCTTTGTCATCCCAGGTTATGGAACTCCAGGCTATGGAATTGGTGGTACTAATGGCGCCCAAATTGGTTCTGGTCTATATTGCACACCAATTCATTGCCCTGCTGCCACCTGCAAAGGAGTTCGTTTGTACTTTCAACATGACGACCAGTCCATGGATGATACCAATGTCCACAATAACCACCTCAAAGTAGACCATGAGCCCATGGAGGGAAGAAACAGCCATGGAGAAAATGGCAACCATGTCAATAAGAAAACACATGAACAATGGAAGATGCCCACAGATGAAACCAGCAGCAATGCTGAAGGTGAAGGGCAACGAGATCGCAGTATGGATGCCATGGCCCCAGAATCAGACTAGGCAGACTAGGATCTACTGTATAAGCTAACATATCTAGTTTAAGCATTATTGTGTACCAATAAAACCCCCCAAACTTATGATGATATAATAAGCATGCATTTCTGATAGGCCACATGTAACTTGTTCTGTTTTTATTACACACTCTAGTTTACGACTCACCAGTTACATATACAATTGATTGTTCTCACTAGCAGGCTGCAGGGCTAATTTCAGGGTCCTTATTCTCCTTCCTTGACCACAGTTGCTTGATCAGACCAATTTCCTTCTCCTTCCTTGACCACAGTTGCTTGATCAGCCCAATTTCCTGCACTGCCAGTGCGCGGGATGCTGGGGAGTCGGGTGAACAGATCCACCTGAAAAGTAACTCCACAAATATAGCCATCATCATCTTCGTGTGTGATTGCCCTTACCTTGTGTAAGGGATGAACAAAGCTCGTCAGCCCACTTCCACTTGTAAATATGCAGCCTGTTAGACCATTTTAAAACACTTCTTAATATTGAACTTGGGTTTAGTTACTGCAAATTGGGTCAGAATTCTATCATCATAAGGCATTGCCGAAGAAAACGAAATTAAAGGGTAATGGAAGAGCACCAATTTGGACTAACCTGGAGGAAAAGGTGCAAAAGATTTTCCACAAGCCTCTCTAATGATGTTGAGATCATCAGAGCAGACTAGGGATCCATCACCTGCCATGCCCCACTGAAGCTCCACACTTCCATCTCGATCCTAACAAGAATAGCAGCTGTATTAGCTCTAGCACTGTGGGAGATGCAATGTTTTTGACCAAACAAGAAAAGTAAAGATCTCCAAGGCAGTGTTGAATGAGACAGACTACATTCAAAAATAAAATTTGTCTTGAACAAAGTCAAAGACAGGTTTAATTATATATATTTCAATTGTAAGTTCATTTCAGAAATGCATAACCCACCCTCGCTGCAAAAAGGGTACCAAATCTAGCATCAAAGAGAATAAATGCGAATTTTCCTTGCAGATCTTTGATGACTTGATCTGGCGGGTAGGGTGCTCGATCTCTTAGAACTTTATAAGCTTCAACCACAACCATGGCTTCTGTTGCTTGTCTTGGAAGGCCGTAGTGCCTTCTAAGGTCACAAGTGTTCTCCAAAATCCCTATAAAAATGCAGAAAACATCGTCTATGACAACTATGGACCTGCCAAATACAGAAATAGACAACTGAGAGCACTGTATAGAAAAACAACAGCTTCACTTTTGCAAGCAGGCTTTGGCGCAAGAAAAGCTCAACTAGTATAATCAAATACCCTGTAATAAGCTTTTGTGAGAACTGAGATGAGAAGAATATTGGCTAAGAATATTAGCAAGAGACGATGAAGCATGGAACTAAAAGACGATGAAGATCAAATATCAATCAATACCTTGGGTGTGATTGAATACTTTCGTCGGCATGGGACAAGACCATGAAATTCCCATTTGAAAGATAGTACACCGTGCTCTCAGGACATGAAGATTGGAAAGTCTCCAAAATTTCCTCTATGGTCTTTGCCTTCTCCAACACATTCGAAGGAAGCCTCAGCTCCTCAGGTGGTTTTCCAATTGCTTTCTCAAAAACAGCCAACATTTTCCAGCAAAACCTTCAACAACATACAGCTATTTCTCAGAATGGAGCAGGTTGTACATATACAATCTTGGTTTCTATGCTTTTGTCCACATGCTTATCTGGAGAAAATAAGTTTGGCTAGCTTACAAGAGAGTGTTGGGTGGGACTGCATGTGGCAGCTCCAAGGATTACATCAGGGCAAGACGTGGAGTCTGCTGCAAAAGGCAAGCGTTATAGCAAGTCATATATTATTGCCCAAAATGGTTTTGGCTAGTTCTTAAGGTGTCTGTTACAATCTTTCATAGTCAAATTTCAAATTCCGATAAATAGAAAATGATTTTGTCAAGTCAGAGGAGAGAGGAAAAGAAAAAACTAAAGCTTTCTGTTGTAATAATGGAATTAAAGGGGGAAAAAATAGTAGCTTAATGGACAAAATCCTATCAAATAGATTGCTGGGTACAATTTTACAAAATTGTGAGGGTACTTTGACCCAGCATAACACTAAAACTAGTCAGTGCCGAAAAAAGAATTTACATGAAGATCGAAAAGAATGAGTGACTATGTCTGGATGCTGGTTTACCCATGTAGTATGACTGTAAGACAATGTTCGCAGATCAGTTGAGTGTCGTTTTACTTGATATAAGCAACTGTACAACCATAATTCATTGGACTTTCTTGTTCATACTTGGCTACTCGTGGATGGTTTTTCAAAATCTCAAGTGCTCGCTCTTTAACAACCCCTGTGCCCATCCCATGTATGACAAAGAGAACTGATTGAGATTGTCTAGCAGAGATGACCATGTCCAGGAGGTCAGAAGCTTCCTTCACCCTCATGCCACGGAGATCCACGGTGTTCTTTGACGTTTGTATCACTGGACCATAAGCGACCTCCCCGCTTTCGGTTTCCCCAGTACGACTCTGCGAAGCCTACAATATCAATCAAAATGATCAGCCTCTATCTTTGGATTTGATTCCAAACATCTACAAGCCATGGAGACCGGTCAAAACCCCCAAACAGGATGTTTGATGGTACTAAGAATAAATAATTACTCATTACATACCTGCTGCTTCAAACGTGGGGCAGAATTTGTCATTGGATTCTTCTCAATACTAGGAACAGCTCTGATGTCATTCTTCTTCAAGCGAACCTTTATTTTACCGTATTGTACAAGGACTGTCCCATCATCTCCAGGTGTTTCAACAACAGTAGCTAACTTATCTCCCAGTCTCTTCAAATGGACTTGCTCCCCAGGTTGGGGTGTGTATGAAGCGGTAGATGTCTCACTAACCAACAAATCATCATCAGGACAATGAGCCTTAATAACAGATGCAATTGCAGCTTCTGATTTCCTAATCAGCAAATTCAACTGATCAGCACCAGCAGTTTTGAGTTGGTTATCAAACTCGTTCAGCACAGATTCCATTTGAGATTTTGCAGTCTTCACTTCTTTCTGAACCTGTAGGGTTTCCTTTGCCATAAGAGCTCTCTTGCGCTTATCAAGATCTTCTGCCTCATCTTGGATCTTCAATTTAATAAAAATAAAAAAATAAATAAAGACGTAAAGAGCCACATAAAACAAGAGAAAGAGAAAAAAAGCTAGCAGCAGAGAAAAATGCAAATCTGTTCCAGACTAGAGCCACTCAAACAATACCTCACGATAAAGATCCATGATATCTGAATGAAGTGATGCAGCCATTTTTGCCTGAGCTTCTAGTCTGCCTCTTTCCTCTATTAATGACCGATATAGCAAACCTTTTCGCTCCTGTTGCTTTTCGGGCATTAACCTCTCCACCCATTTTTGTGCACGTTCAATTATGCGTTGATTAAAACCAATCAATTTAGCAATACTCAATGCATTTGAATCACCAGTACTTCCCCATAGGATCCGATAAGTAGGTTGTAAGGTTTCTAGACAAAATTCCATGGCTGCATTTTCAAACTGATTATCCTTTTCTTTCAGGCGACTTAAATCCGCATAATGAGTAGTCACGACAGCTAAGTTAACATGGCCTTTGAGATATAGCAAGATGCTGGCAGAAAGAGCAACACCTTCTGAAGGATCGGTTCCACTGCCAATTTCATCAATGAGGACAAGTGATTCTTTTGAAGCCACTTCCAAAATATTACGGATCCGCGATATGTGCCCACTAAACGTTGAGAGATTTTGCTCAAGAGACTTCAATTGAAAAACAATAGTCAGACTAAAATGAAAAACTTAAAGAACCTAGGATTTTCTGCCATAATTAAGGTAAACTACTACCTGGTGATCTCCAATATCGGCTAGAACAAGATCAAACCATGGAAGCTTTGGGTGATTTTTAGCAGGCAGGTACATGCCAGCCTTCGACATGAGAGATGCCAGGCCCAAAGCTTTCATGGAAGCTGTTTTTCCTCCAGTATTAGGTCCTGAGATTACAACCACTCTGGTGCCACATCCAATTTTGATGTCTATTGGCACTGGAAAATCAGATGCACGACCAGATAAACTTCCAGTAATCATTTTTAAACCATTAACGTCATCGGAGGAAAGGTGATTTCTAGAACTGGATGCAAGAACGTCAGATAAATTTCTAAGAGATGGCTCAAGCAGCAATGGATGTTGTAGTCCTTCTATATCTACAGATGTCGCTAAACTGGCGCCACCAGAATCTAAGTCCTGGCAATCCTTGGAACTAAAAATTGGGCATACCCCATTCATCCGTAGAGCATAAGCAGCTCTAGCAAAAGCAAGATCCACTTCTAGAACTTTATCTAACAAATACATTATCGGTGTTTCTGATTTTGCAATTTCCGATGTAAGGAAGCTCAAAATGCCTATTTCCTCAGCCCTCTCAGCATTTGAAAGCCTCACTTCCATGTTATTCAACTCCACAGCCTCTTTGGGTTCCACAAAGTATGTTGCGCCAGAACTACTAACATCCAAAACTATGCAACCTGGAAGCAAATGTTTGTGAGTAGCCCTAACACCCACACACATCCTAGCCCTGCGCTTAGTCACCAAAGGACTGTCAATGCCACCAGCTTTAAAAATCTGGGTTGACACTTCCTTCAACAAAGAATCCAGATTTTCCATGTTACTCTTCATTTCTGACCTAATGATCTCCAGGTCTTCACTAGCTGTGTCAACAATTATTGAAAGCTTGCAATCTATGCACAATCCTATCATTTTCTCCAGCTCCACTAGGTAATCACAATCGTCAAGTATTTCAAGCAGGGGCAAGTACCTGTTCCAGTACAACTTAACAAAAAATAAATCATAAAAATTTGATTTGTCTTAATATTATCTATCACAGTAGAGTACTTTACCAAAAAAACACACTCTTATCAGTGTTCAAAATTTCAAACCACATGTTCATTAAAACGAAAACACAGAACAAACCTAAAGGAAAAAAGTAAATAGATAAAGCAAAGCTCAATAACACCGATACCTGTCTGTACAATCTGCACTCAAAGCCAAGCCCTTCAATTTTTCGAACAATCCCTTCGCGGCGTTCAGCGTCCTACGCACAGCGCAGAGCTCGTTGATGCTAAGCAATTTGCCTGAAACAGCGGAGCTCACGATGTCCGAGACGTTCTCGATGGCCGAGAAATCGGACGGCGGAGAACCGGCCATCGTGATGGCATCCACCGCCGCGGTCGTCTGATCGAGAAGCTTCTGGCTCTCCTCCTTGGACCGGCCGACGGGAATGTGGGCCTCCTGCGCGGCGGAGAAGCCCATGGCGGTGGACGCCAACGCCGAGAGCTGCTTGCAGACCGAGGCCCATTCTAGGATTTCTAGGGTTTCGGATTGGAGGGAATGCGCGAGGCTGAGTTGGTTGGGCGGTGACTCGGGCGAGTAGGAAAGCGAGAAGTTATCGGTGGCGGGTTTGAGGGCTCTGGCAAAGAGGTTCGAAGGTTTGGGGACGGAGATGAAGAAGAGGTTGCTGCTGAGTTTCAATGGAGGAGTAAGAGAGTGAACGAGTGGATTCAACGAGTTGAACATGGCGTCGTTGGTTTAGACGCAATGGGTTTTAGCATCTTATCCGTGACGATGCAACTGTGGAGCCAATCTCCCGCCTCGTAACCGAAAAATTTCTGGAGGCAATCTGGGCTTTAGCCCGCCGCCTGCTGGGCTTGGGTCATTTGCTCAATTTAACTTTCTCAACGACACGACATGTCGTTCGCCTTTTGCCTGTCATCAGCACCAATTTGGCTGAAGCCATTTCTGTTTTACTAGACATGACAAAGGCAATATTGTAGTACGCTAAAAAAAATCAATATTTAACAAGCCATTTTCGAGAATATCTGTTTTATTTATTTTTCTAACAGTAACGGATGAAAGGGACCAAAAAACACGAATAATATTTCACCTTTTGAGGACCTTTCCATTTTACACACAATACACGCATGCTAGGACTCGAACCCAATACCTTACCGGAGGAGTAATTACCCCAAACAACTGGACCTTATTTTTCTAACAGTAACGGATGAAAGGGACCAAAAAACACGAATAATATTTCACCTTTTGAGGACCTTTCCATTTTACACGCATGATAGGACTCGAACCCAATACCTTACTGGAGGAGTAATTACCCCAAACAACTGGACTAGTGGTTCTCTGCATATATTTCACCTTTTGTTTTCACAGCTTGTTACAAATTGAGAAATGGAATATTAACTTGCGTCTAAACTAAACAAAAACAACCACTTAAGCAGAGATGATCAATCAATTCAATCCAACACAACCAGCTTCTGATACTCTTGGCCGGATATGGCAGCTTCCAGGTCCGGTTGAACTTCCCCGTCATTATCCAAGAAGAGCTTGAGCAAATTCTTAGAGAAGCCACTCGACAGAGCCACTCCGGATTGTGTCCCGGTCACCGGCGTCGCCTTGGAGTGCCTCAGATTCCAAAACACAATCCGCGGCACCGCATTCCCATACCCTTGATTCTCAAACTTCTTCTGTATCACAGCGTAATCAGTCTCCCAGCTGCTAGACGACGAAGCCTCATCAAACTCCATGTCGCTGAACACAAACACCCTCTTTATCATGTCCTCCGGCTTCAAATTCCCCTTCACGGGCACTTTCAGAATCAAATCAAACACCTTTTGGAAATCAGTGTTGTAACCAGCCTCCATCCTATTCACAAACTCACACTTGGATTGAGATCATCGCCTTGTATCAAATGCAGCTGAGGCCACTGACTGAAAGTGATCACCTTTCCTTTTCATAGATCTTCACTCAATTCTGACTCCAAAATCCCCTATGCCACGGAAACTTTCATGGGGGTTCCTCCCATGCTTCCCGAGACGTCGGAAATAGCCAGGCAATTCCTCATCTTGCCTTGCTTTAACATGTCGTCCGCCATTCTCTTCCACTGAAGCTCAGCCACTTGCCCCCATCTCCGTGGGTGTCCTCGTCACCACTGTCGTCGGAACTATAGGGATTAATATTGAAGGAGGCTGAGCTCTGGAGGACCAAGAAGACTTGAAGAAGCCATTGAAATTGTGATTTTGGTTTGAGAATTGAGAGAGGGTTTGCAGGGGAAGGTTTTGGAGCGGTGCGTGATATGCCCTGTTTTATATATGAGTTGTTACTTGGGCACCAAGGAATTTGTTAGTTCTAGGGCCATAATTTTTCTTTCTGTAATTCTTTCTTTTTATTATTATCAGTTGCTTATATTTATTCATAATATATATATCCTTTGATTTACCCAAAAAAAAAAAAAAAAGGGAATTAGTTGGAAATTGTTATATTACAGATTTAGGAAGCACCAGGCTCATCAAATGCCTAGAGATGACAGAGCCATACATGAATAATATCACAGAAGTACATATACAAGGAGAAATGGCTTGTAAATTCACGAGCGTAATTATTTTGCCAGAATCGGAACGCCGCATGCTGCCGGAGCATGCTTTCCCTCTTTGAAGACAAGGTTTCCTCTTACAAAAGTAGCTGAAACTTTTCCAGATAACTTTGTTCCCATGTAGGCTGAAATCCCCTGTACACAGAAAGGTAACACAGTCCAAACCTTGTGGTGTCATAACACAGAACAGAAAACAGGTTTAATATAGAATAGAATGCCATACAGGGTCTTACGAATGTTATCAAGAAACAAGCAAAGTTACACTCAAAACATGTGAACAGAGGATACATAAGGAAGACATACAGAATGCTTGAGGTAAACAGGGTCATCATCAAGGTCAAACTCCACATCTGGATCCCACACTACCATATCTGCATGGTTCCCAATTGCAATTGCCCCCTGCAAATTTAGAATTCAATTCATCAGCACAATGAGATTCATGTCTGCATGAAAATCATTAAAACAGATAAGAATTGGATGATGATATCACCTTCAATTCTTGTCCGGCAAGCGTGGCGGGCCTTTCACTCCACCATAAAGCTAACTGTTCTAAAGTCACTCCATATTTCTGGCCATATGACCATGTCACAGGAAGAACAAACTGCAAATGCCCCCGAGAATGCCAGTTAGTTTCTGAAGCCAATCACAGACCATAACATTTGCAAGGAAAAATATGCCAACCTGCAAAGATGATATGCCACCCCAAGCCCTTAAGAAGTCTCCATCATCAAGAAGCTTAAGTTCCGGCAGAGTTGGTGAATGATCAGAGCTTAGCATGTCAACATGTCCTGCCTGAAACAAAACATTGAAACCAAATAGAACCAATTTGATGGTGAATAGCTATCCTATCATATACACAGGAAAACATAGAATGATTATATACCAACAAAGCCTCCCACAGTTTTTCCTTGTTGGCTGCATCACGGATGGGTGGAGAACACTTAAAACGAGTATCTCCATCCCGAATCTCTTCTGCTGAGAATGCTAAGTAGTGGGGGCATGTCTCCACAGTTACACTGTCACCACCACTTTTTGCATCCTGCAATAATGTAGACACCCAGTTGCATTGTTTGTTCATGAACAATAATAATTTGCTTTCAGTCGAAAGTAGCACTCTGGTAAAATTGTGGGTGCAGATAGAGCTGAATCAGTAGAAAGTTACAAGTGAATGGAGTCATAAGACCCACCACAACCACATACATACTTATAATAGACTACCTTAATAAGATCTAATGAAGAGCTTGAGTCAGACAAGTGAACAATATGAAGATGAGCTCCTTCCGCTGGGGCACCAATCCTTGTGTCCTTTGTCAAGGTCAAGAGATCCCTAATAGCTGCCTCTTCCCTGGTTTGGAAACAGAGGAAAAATTACATTCAGGGATATTTCCTTACAGCAAGTATAGGGAAAATTTTTGCAATGTAGATTCAGCATTCAACAGTCAAAAACATTGGCGCGAAAAATACCATGAAGCTGGCCTTGTCTTGAGATACGTCGAATAAGAACGAGCATTGTTACTACCACCTTCAACTCCCAAGTCGCTTTCAAGATCTAGTTGTTTCTCTGCATGTACAAGTAAAGGCCGCCTATATTTTGCCAGTACAGACAGTCCCTCCTAAGGAACAAATAATTGAAAAAATATGCAGATGTTTGAAAAGACATCAGAATTGTGCTAAAAACATTGCATCTCAAGAAGCCAATTGATCATGCAAGTCTTCCGCCATCACGAATGAATAATTAATTGTGCTGATTAAATTAGTACAGGTAGAGTTGGATAAGCAGCAATGCAATTAAGTCATTGATTCTATGCTTTTAATTTATTTTGCAAGCTAAATCAGATAGTGTGAAGACTGAATCTCATGAAACAAACCTTAATATGACTGGAATTTGTCATAGGAAAGTCATTGATCCCTGATGGACACATGAAAGACTACAAAAACAGACACAGAAAAACTCATCAGATGAGGATCGTATAACATCTTAATATTCCTGCAAAAGTTGAGGAACAGTACTGTTTCAGAAAGCAAGAAAATAGAAAACTGGTCCACATTCGATCAACATGAACCAATAACCACAAGCTCTAAAATATGTCTGTACACCTCAAGACACAAGAGATCTGAATTAGTTGGGAAGAACTTTAATTGTGCCACAAGAAATGTAATGAAACAGATATCACTATCCTATTATGAACTACAAAATTCCTAGCTTACCTAATACATAGACTAGCATGTGTTCACTATTCTATTAAAGTGTTTACCTTCAAACCAAGAACACCAGCATTTAACAAATCCTCAAGAGCAGATGTGTTGAATGCGTTTTCAGGAACAAGACCTCCCCAGAAACCTGTTACAATGTGCACGTAAAAACCAGTAGTTCTCAAATGTTTTAGTATTATGCTATCCCCAAACATGTATATAGTTCTAAGAGCATACCAACATCGACGTAAATTCTGCTCTCCGCGGCCTTAATCTTGAGCTGCAAAGTCTCTCTGGAGACAGTGGATGGATCACTATTTAGAGGCATGTCAACCAATGTAGTTATCCCACCTGCAACAGAGCAAATATTAATCTATAAGCGATTTAAAAGCTACAAAAAAACATAAGAATGAAGCAGAGGTATAGGCATACCAGCAGCAGCAGCCTGGGTCCCTGATGGAAATCCTTCCCATTCAGCTCTTCCAGGATCATCAAGATGTGCATGCCTGAAATTAATAGAAACCAAAGCATTTAAATTCCAATGCAAACCCTTGTGACTATACAGAAAAAAGACCACAGTGAGAAAATTAATTGTGTATCTTACACATCAACCAAGCCAGGCATGACCACAGCCTCTCCATAATCAATTACATTCTCCAACTTGGTTTTCCCATTCTTTTCCTCTTCTTTAACAATGGAGACAATCTTCCCCTCCTTTACCTCAACTGTTCATTTACACATTTCATAAATGAAACTAAATCAACCATGTGGTTCCAAAACCATAATATAGAGCTGTAATGTGGTTTCTAAAATCTACAACGGAAAATCATCCAATTCAAGACTATTGTTTAGACATGCCTGCTCCAGAAATGACCCCGTGAGGCGTCACGATGCGCTTGCTGGTTATCCAGTAATGTTGGTAAGGAAGCAGGCTGCAGTTTTTCTGATATTGCTGTAAAATAAAAAGTAAAATAAACTCCATTATGACACTCAAATTGCAATGCAGAGCCGAAACTGAGGAAGTGAAATACTCAGTAGAATTCATGAACAGACCAACAAAACTACAACTTCTTTCTTGATGGGTTCTTCACCATGCATATACAAAATACATTGGTATATACGCAGAAATACGTTCATACAAAGTGGAAATATTTTTTTGGTACAACTTTCAGTATCATTCAAAATCAGAATATGCTTTTAGCAAAAGTTCATGGATTATAGAATTCAAAGACTAAAGTAATCCCATTAAAATTTAGTGTAATTCATTTCGTCGTGGATAAAGCAATCCCATTAAAATTTCTTAATGGAATATCAAATTGGTTATAATGTAGTGTAGGACCGCATAACTTCTCTCTCATCCATGATTTCACATATTATGAACTCATCATCCATTGATCAGTTGGTTAATATCTCAAATCCACTTGCCCTGTTGTCCACTAACAGAGTGGTACTATTAAAAAAGAAGGTAAACCATACAAAGAAACAGAAATTAGGCAGGCAAATGAACACCCTTGAGAATCAAAACAGTACATTGCAATGATTTTCTTCACAAAAAGCTGTTTGGTTGACGAGAAAATGGGCCAAAAAGACAAATTCAAATCCGAATTCAGAATAATTTTTCAATATTAAAGAAAAAACCAAATTACTTGAGATTTTCATGTCATCAGAATCAATAACACAACAACCATACAGAGCTCAAATATCATTTTAGTTTCTTTGCACTCCATTTTCGAGAAAGCGTCTATGAACAAGTATAAAAAGGAGGACTAACCCAACAAAATAAACACAAGAAAATTGAGAGAATAAATTCAATTAAGCTTCATAAACATAAAAAAAAAACAGACCTTTGAGGGATTTTGGAAATAGAAAAAGAGTAGAAAAGAAGCGAGAAGTGTTAGCAGTGGCAATAGCCTCCATCGTATCGCCTCCATTTCTTCCGCTGCTGACTTGCTAACAACTAACAGAGACTGACACGCAGGCGCTCTCTTCCTCTCTCTCCAGGTTTTGGTCGAGCCATCCACGGGGCAACTTATCCTGGTGACGTGCGGGAAACGGGGTCCACGTATGGACCAGTGGGATTTGGACACGTGGGGAGTTGGAAGATGACAAACGGCACTTGCGCTGTCCGTGTGCCCGTGAAGTTATCGATTCCCGTAACTTATGAATCTTGGGAAGATTCTTGATTCCTTTTCGCGAGTGGCCAGGGCGACCGACTAGTCGTACTCGTATCTGGCGTGAAAAATGTATATAATATATAGGCTTAATTTATAGTCCCGATCTCTTAATACTATATTATATTACGCACGTACCTATATATTTTTTAATAATATATCTGTATTTTGTACAGATTTTAAAGACCCGATAAAAACACATTTTTAAAAAGCAAATGTATAATACTCATATTATACATGTACATATGTATTTTTAATGTTTAATACACATATTTTCAATAAAACACATAAAATTTACGTATTATACATATAATTCTCACATAATATTGAATATAAATGATATATATTAAAAAATATAAATAAATTATATTAAGATATAATATAGGTGGGTTTTTTTGACACGTGGGCACCTAATTGCTGCGGCTATACTCGGTTTTTTTCAAAAAAATAGTAAAGCCGCGCGGCTATACTATGGTTTTGATGTTTAAAAATAGTAAAGCCGCGCGGCTATTTTATTTTATTTTATTTTAAAAAAGTTTTAATGTTTATTTTAAAAAATCGTATAGCCGATTGGCTATACTGTTTTTGACACGTGGCTCCTAATGGCTAGTGGTTTTTTTAAAATATATAAATAGTATAGCCGCGCGGTTATACTCGATTTTTTAAAATTATTTAAAAAGATAGTATAGCCCCGCGGCTTTACTGGGCATTTTTTTTGTTTTAATTTTTTTTAATAGATTTATTTATTTATTTGTTTGTTTTATATATAATCACTAATGCAAACATCCACTATGTTCAAACGGAAATAACACTATTTTACTATCTTCGACCAATAATACAATGATACGTGGAAAAGTTATCCCGATTGTCATTGTTCTATTGGCCGGAATAACAAAAAATATTATCCCTTGGCATGAAAGTCAGCTCTCTTCTAGCGGTGCCGTCCCCACACGTTGCTCTCATGAGCCGGTCTGCACCCCACCGGTCTAGAGAATCAAATTACCAATTTACCAATTTACCCTCGTGAGGGAGCTTAGAAGCATCCCTTTCCCCATTTCCACCGCTCCTCCATTCACACGCAGAGACAGAGTCTGAGAGTGGCGAGAGAAGATGATACCGCATCAATGGGGGTCTCCGTGCGGTAACCAATGCACCAACAAGTACGCAGCCCTTATGCAGATTCCATGTAACGCATTTTTATCTCCTCCTCCTCACTCGCTATGCCTCTTTTTTTTTTCTTATTTCCTTCATGTTCCCTTCAATCGTTGTTGTTTTCCTCAATTAATTAGATTTTTGGTGCCCTTTTACTGTAAATTATTATTATTTATTTTTGTTGCCCTTGTTTTGGCGCTAAAAAAATGAGACTGATTATCGTATTGGGCAACCCTTAATTGACTAAACCGAACGTTTCATGGTCTAGTTCTGAATTGTACATTTTGTATGATAAATTTTGGCCAATTTAGCCCCCTGTTATGACTGCATGTTTCCCTGCACAGTTGGGTTTGAATAATATGCTTTAGGTATGCCCAAGCACAAGAATTTGCGTGTGTTTTCTTTTGAAAATATTGGTTTATTACAGGGTTCACTATAACTTGTGTGTTTCCTTGTAGGGCGAGTATTTTGCAAAAAGGGCTGTGACACTGATGGAGAGACTTGGGAAGAATGTGAGTGTTACTTTGTTGTTCTACTCAGTTTCATATGGTTTTGTGCTGTTTACATTATTTGTTTTCAGTTTAGCACCTTCGCAGACACCTTATATGAAATGACACTTCTAAGAACCTATCTTAATGCTGTGGGAAGTTACCTATCAACGTATACTTTTTGGCTCGTCTATTAGCTTGGCTCTTATCAATCTGCATCTGAATCTTAATATGGAAGTAGACTATTGGTTTAGTGGGTTGGTACACTACAACATAGGAGTAGTACAAAATGTTGTTGAGATATGCTTCAAGTGATACAGCGAGTAGTTGTGCAGGCTTGGAGGAGTGCAATGAGATATGCTACAAGGATCCTGTTTTAAAGGACCGGCAATGGAGTGCTTGCATCGACCGTTCTCCTGGAGTTGACAGGTACTCAGAGGTATTTTGCCATCTACAGCTTCTCTTAGCATGCTAATGAAAAAAATTCTGGATGATAATATGAACATATGGTCATGTGTATTAAATTTATATGGCCTCTTGTATATCTCAAGTCCAAAAGTTGCAGGCGGGAATTGTCAGTGTTGTTCACTATAATAGCCTCCTCAGGATTCACTAAAATCATTTGTTCTTAGTAGAACAGACTAGGAGTTGTAAATTTGTTTGTAAATGTTAAACTTAATGTGTTTTTAACTGACATTTTCTATAATTGACTAACCAAAAAAACAAGAACCATGCAGTTCCAGTATGATAATTATAATTAAGGTGAAAACAAGGAAAGCTTAAACTATCACTTTTGTCCAATGACAACCATAAGAATTGGTAATTTGGCACTGTATCTGATAGCTAAATGCTTCTTGATTTAAAATCTTGAATGGAGTGAATAGGTATGTTAATGCTTCCATCCTGCATTGAACAGTCAATTGGTACCCTTGTGCATCGTCCTCATTCAAAAGCATGGTTATGATTCAATGTACATTTTTTCAGACTGAGTAATTGCTGATCCAATTCTGTGTGCAGGAGTGCTTTCATGCTTGTGTATCTGGCTGTGGTTACAAGGTTAGTCTGGTCTCAATCCGTTGAAGTTCTGGTTACAATTTGTTGCATTCTTATCTAGGATTGATATTTAGAAAGTCATAAAGTACACATTCAATTTACTTGATGCTGCAGTTTGATATTCGTCCGGACATAGCTGATAAAGTTCGTCCAAACAGGCGACCTAAGCCTCCTCCCCCTGTTCAAGAGCCAGCCTCACCGCCTGCTGAATCCAGAGCAGCCGGAGCAACGACTGAAGACATACTTAGCACTTCGGCATAGTGAGAGACAAACCTAACTATACTATAAAATGCTTACCAACGATTTAGTTAGTTAATAGGTTGGAGGATTAATTTTTCTTTTTGCCATTTTATATTTGCTTTCACATTAACTAACATCTGGGCATCCAGATTTTTTGACAGACAAGAAACACCGTGGAAATGTGAACTGTAAACTGGATCCCCTTTCTGTTTTATTGGTGACAATTGAATTGATATTCGATATTCGCGAGTTCAATGTTTGAGAAGATACTTCAGAATTTGTTCACTATATGAATTCGTCTTGATCAAAGCTTTAGAAGTGGAGAACCGTATTGCCATGGATGTCATTAAATTTCCTATGCACCATTGAATGGCCTTGACACCAAATTTCACTAGCGGAGAAGCTCTGCCATGGACATGATTTAGAAGATTGACATTTATTGTCAGTTTCATTATCTGCCTATTGTGAAACCTTGATGAATAATCTACTATTCTAGCAGTATTCTTTTATATCGATAATGTCTAAACAATAAGGGGAGGGGGTTTTTCATAAACACTACCAAAGTGTCATGAGATTTGAATATGAGAACACTAGTCTAGACCGGTTGGCATTCTCACAGTATTTCTAGATAATTCGCATTCTCACAGTATTTCTAGATAATTCGATTTTAATTTTGCTAATTATGTTTTTGTTTTTCTGAATTTGTTCACTGTGTTTGATTTATCATTTTAAACTATTCTAAATTCATCAAATTTACAAGAGGGGAGACTCGAAACTCATGTCTGCCACTGTGTTTTGTAACTTTGTTAGATAAAATTCATATTTTCAATTTCGAAAGAAAGAAAGAAAAAATACAGTATATCAAAAATCCATTTTACAAATAATAATAATAATAAACACGCAGAATAAAAGCAGCGACCGGCCAGTGAGTAAACCCAGAATAAATTAAGCTAAGTTTACCATAAACCAAAGAAGACGGTCTCCGACACTCTTCAATCATCGGAGAAAATCAAATAGCAGCACTCAAATCAGAATACGGCGTCGCTTTGCGATCAGTCACACTTACAGTAAACATAGAAGAGTGCAATAAACTCAAATCTCACACCCTAGAATTAAATTTCAGGCCCCTTTTATTCACTTTATTGTTCTGCAATTTTCTATCAGAAGGGGCTTGAAGCTCAGCAGAAGAACCCTAGAATCAGAGCGGAAAAGAACTCGAATTTCTCAAAATGCCTCAGGTGAGGATCATAGCGAAGAATTTCATGGACATGGTGGCTGCCTTGCCCGCCATGAAGCTCGACAAGCTCTACGAGAACGCATTCATCTGCGAAGCCATTCTCAGGTCCCCTTCTTTATTTTTACTGCTTTTGTTACTCAATCTCAGTTTGCTTTCGCAATGTCGCCTGTAGCTTTATTATTTGAACGAGCCTGTAATCTTAAATGAGTTAGTGATCATGATATAGGTGCAATTTTCAGGTCTCTGCCACCGCTAGCCAAGAAATATGTCTTACAAATGCTATGCATCGAAGTTCCAGTGACTGCCAAGTCAATGGAGGAGTGGGTGCTGCCGGATGGGGTCTCCAAACATAGAGTTGCTATTGATCGGCTAATTCAGTTGAGAATTTTCACTGAAACTGTTGACAGGTGATTCAAGCTTTCTTTTGGAACTAGTGTCTTGTATCAGTGCATACTTTTATGTTTCTTTGGAGCAACATAATGTATTTATTTTTCATTTTTTTGACTTTATGGCAGGAAGAGAGAAACAACTTACACATTAAATCCTATATTTCAGACCAATCTCAAGAAGCTTTTGCTATATGGGTAACTGTTGGCTCTTTTACTTGCTACTCGTACAAAATTTGCAGGGTCTCTTCATTATTTCACTTGTGCTACTATTCCTTATTTTTTAAATTCTGACAGAAAACAATGTCAGAAATTATGTTCTCAGATTATAACGATAGATTTTTGGATACTGCAGTGTAGTTTTGCCAAGAGAACCGATGCCTTCGAACGTTACAGTGAGGCTCCCAAGCTCAGAGGATCTTGAGGCTTTTGCCCTAGAACAATGGGAGGTACAGAATTTATCCATATTTAAGTCAGGATTCTGTTTTCAGATTTTTTGGCCTGCCTCTTGTATACCATGGCGATCTGTATGATGTGTAGCTGTAAATTATACATTCACAACTTCTTATTGTGCAGTTCTGTAATTTGGGTTACCCTTCTTAATGACTTCTTATACCAGTGTTTCTTGCTGCAACTTATCAACTCATCTCAAATTGAAAGGCCATCAAACATCAGTTCATCTATGATGAAAATTTTCCAGCGGGGTCTTTTGAGTCAAAGGTCCTTATTATTGTATTATTATTTCCGGCAATACAAGCCTGTATTTCTTTTTCATAGTACTGTTTCGTACATCTGATTATGAGGTTTTGCATCTTCTGTTTGTACAGAGATAAAGAAGCTCCAAGATTAACTGAAAGTGGTTTCCAGTTCTTGGTATGCAGTAAATCTCTTCAACTGCTAGCATGCAGCATGTATGATGTTTCTTAGTTGTTACTAGATATTATTTCTGAAATGTGAATAACTGCAGCTGATGGATACAAACGCACAACTATGGTACATCATCAGAGAATACATCTCTAACTCGGAGGTAGGGAATCATCAGATTTTTAATTGCTGGTGAACGTGATGTCTTTTTGCTTGTTATAACTCTTATAAATATACTCTGAACTTTTAATAAAGACTCCAAACATGTTATCCAGCACTAGAAACGGCAAGATTCAGAACTGATTTCTGATCAAATTTCACATTTTTGTTCCAAAACAGTTTGAAGGTTTTTTCAGAGCTTAATCATTCATATAATAGAGCATTCAAGTTAGAAGTTGAAAAGTACATAATGACTATGTTGTTTGTGATTTTGAGAGTTGCCTGCTTCACTTGTGTATTGAGATGAAGCTAGTCCAACTTAAGTATTTTCTTCACAATGGCTGCTGTTCATTAGTTTCATCTTTTATCTGGTCTCTTATTATTATTATTATTTTGGTGCAGGAGCGTGGGGTAGATTCTGCAGATTTGATTTCATTCCTGCTGGAGCTTAGTTTTCATGTTACAGGCGAGGTATAAACTTTTGCACTAAATGTTTCCATAGGTTTTTTCTATAGAATAATTTTTATTATTTATTTTGTCAGTAACTGTTCCTTCCATGTAGGAAATTTCTCTCACTTTTCGTTGTACTTTTCTTTTTGTGTTAGGCATATAACATAAATACATTGACTGAGGTTCAGAAGAATACGATCAAGGATCTTGCAGATTTAGGATTGGTCAAACTTCAGCAGGTTATACTTTTGTGCTTTAATCTTGGTATATGATGTTCTAATAATCTCCCAGCTGATAGTTTAACTATTTCTTCACCTAAGTTTTAAATTGTTGTCTTTTTGGTGCTTATTCAGGGTCGGAAAGACAGTTGGTTTATACCTACGAGATTAGCTACTAATCTTTCAGTGAGCTTGACAGACTCATCATCAAGGAAACAGGTGTGCAATTTGTACTCATTTTAGCTCAGTCTCTAATTGATTTTTCTTTGTTCATGTTCTGCAACTGATTCCTTATCATCAATCATTTGCCTGAATGTGCTTTTCACCATGAAGAAACAACATTGTCAACTAGTTGCACTTTTTATTTTCCTACTTGTCCAAGCACATATGAGAAACCAATCTGCTCTCAAACTTGAGCTCAACTTTAGAAGGGTGATGGTGTTGGGAGATATATAGTTATAGATATTCTTAAGCATACACAAATAAAAGAAAGAAACGTAAATAAATTCATCCTAGGTGACTGACTGTTTGGATGCTAGCCGACATTTAAATCTTAAAACTATCCTTAGTTGAATTCCTCTGTTTGCTAGAAATACCTGTATTCGCTTCTAAACTTTTTCAAATTATTATATAATGTAGTCCTTAATTCTCAACATGACTAGGAATATCATGCTTTTTGCACTTGCTCAGCTTGTACGTTTTACATATTTTTATCCTCCAAAGAAAAGCTATGTGCATTTTCATGGCTATATATGGTTACAATTTTTTCCCTCAATTTTTGTTTAGGGATTTGTGGTTGTGGAAACAAACTTCAGGCTGTATGCCTACTCAACATCTAAATTACATTGTGAAATTTTACGTCTTTTCTCAAGGTATGCTGACCGACCCCTTGATCAATCTTTTAATATCTGGTTTCTTTTACTCACAAGACATGTGAAAGAAGCATGCCATGCTAGTAATATTTTATTATCTGTTTAATCATGTCCTAGACATTGCTGAACGTATGAAGAGATGCATATTTTTCTTTTCCAATGTATTCAAGAAAGATGTTAGGAGAAGAAAACCAAGAATGAAAGCAATCAAGAAACTTTATGTACCCAAAAAATAATTATAGGCAACTATAAAATCACTTCCCTGGTTGTATTTTTTTCGCAAAGAGCAAAGACTTGGCAAATGCATTTTTGGATCTCCTGCCCCTGAATTTTCTCCTTCTAGGAGTCAAGCTGGGGGGAGAGGTAGCATTTGGCTACAATGGATGGTCTTTTTTTTGTTGTTGTTGTTGTTGTTGTGTTTAATTGGTAAAATGTACTTCTTATTCTACTTGCTGATCTCTTGGGTAAGTTTTTATAATTACTATTGCTATATTTTTCTTTTTCTACTATGTGCAGGGTAGAATATCAACTTCCAAATCTTATAGTTGGAGCAATAACAAAAGAAAGTTTGTATAGTGCTTTTGAAAATGGCATCACTGCAGATCAGGCAATATTGTCTTTTAGTTATTATACTTTTATTTATTTTCAGTATGAATTATAGCACTTTTATCTATGTTTTGTCTTGTCATGGAAAAAAGGGGTGGTGTATTAGTTGAGAGACCCAGGTAAAAATAAATAAAAAGAAAGAAAGAAAAAGAGTACAGAGATAGAGCCTTTCGCTTCACATTAAGAATAAAGATGTTCTTCTATAGTATTTTCTTGGCTTTTTCTTCATTCTAGCTTCGGGTCTTCCTTGTCTAGAAGATTTTTCAACTTCCAATATGCTCAGATTAATGAGTGTACATTCCATGTGTGCCTGAAAAAGGGAAAAATGAAACTTTGTCCAATTCATGTCAAAAGATGTGGCTTTAAATTGCTAAGCACCTTTCTCTGTCTGTACACACACACCCTCTCAAGTCCACGCATGTAAATTACATGGTGTACTATCTCACAGCAGAAATGGGTTGTTAATACTTTCTGGAATGTTGGAAGTCTAAATTTTGTAAAACTTTTTTTTTGGCAGATAATTTCTTTTCTTCAGCAGAATGCACATCCACGTGTTGCAGAGAGAGTACCATCTGTACCTGAGAATGTCACAGATCAGGTCAGATCCTTCTCTATCTTCTTGTTTAAATTCAGCCAGATATTGTGAGAGCTCAATTTGCTTGATTCTGATTGGAAACTTCCCAGCATCAAGCTCTGCTATGCTCTTTTATCAATATAACGAAGCTCTCTGAATATCATAGTTATTAACTATGTTGCAAGGGATTACCAGTTATCTTAGTATTCTGACATTTTGGATTACACTCGTATCTGACAGATTAGGCTGTGGGAAACAGATCTGAATAGGGTTGAGATGACTCCAGCGTATCATTATGATGGATTTCCATCCAGGGTGACAATCCAGCTTATCACAATGATGTGTACATTTGGTTTGTAATCTTAAGATTTGTAAGATTTTCCTTTTTATATCTGCCAGGATCTCTTTGAGGGTGCTTCTGACTTTGCACGAGGCTATAATGCTCTGCTATGGGAGGATCCAGATGATTCAAAGAAGATGTCTTTAGTGGTCAAGGCAGAAAACCACGTCCACATGCGAGAATATCTTAGCCGTCAAAGGCAGTAGCCCTGATACCAATTTTGCACAACTCAAGTAGGAACTCTTAAATCTTGCTGCAGCAGAAAATGCTCAGTCTAGATCGTGGAGGCTGTTATTTATGAGTTTTCTTCTCTTATAGCTGGAATTGCTTGCGAAGTCATACCTTTGACAGTATTAATAATTTGGGAAGATGAGGTGGAGAAGTTGCGATCAGATGATTGGCATGTTGCAGCAAAATTTCCAGGATCGATGAGTTAAGCTTGTGAAAGAAAAGGGCAGCTTAATGGAAGAGGCTCCGCCAATGAGTTAAGCTTATGTTGCATCCAAATTGATCTACACATCTTGGCAGAATTTATCTATACGCTAGGAGATGTAAAATGTACTGCTGAAACTGACGAGAAATTTTTAAAAATTGAAAGAGAAAAGAGGGGTTATTGCCCTGCTTGTATTCATTCATAGACGGTAGCTAATGACATTCAAATTTGCTTTGCAATTAATTACTCAGGAAGTTAATTGATTCTCTTATAAAATTTTGGTTGCTATTTTTTTAAAGTCATGTTTTATATACAGGGAAGTCTTTAACGTCGTGTTGTCAGACCCATACATCAGTTTTATGTCTCCTTTCCATTGTCATTGTCGCCAAAAAGAAAGAAAATAACAAAATTGAAATTGCAATGGACAGAACGGTTTCTTAGTAGAAGTTTTACAATTCTATTGAAACTGCACATTTCTCCTCTTTTTAGCCTTTTGTGCTGTGAAAGGTCAGCCCCATGTGGTGGTGAGCTTAGGATGTCGTATATTTAAAGAGTATAGCTGTGCAGCTATACTTTTTCCATATTTCCGACATGTTGTAAATATAAAGCGTATAGCCGTGCGGCTATACTTTTTAAATATATATATATATATATATATACACACACACACAACATGTCGTATATAAACAGTAAAGCCGCTCCCGTGCGCCTATACTCTAAAATAAATTTAAACAAAAAAATCCCAGTAAAGCAGCGTCGCTATACTTTATTTTGAAAAAACTTTTTTAAAACCGAGTATAGCCGCACAGCTGTACGATTTATATATAAAAAAGAACCCGCCTAGCTACCAGTGCCACATGTAAAAACAGTATAGCCGAACGGCTATACTATTTTTTAAAAATAAAGATTAAAAAACCGAGTATAGCCTTGCGGTAATACTTTTTTTTTAAAACAATTAAAAGAACCGAGTATAGCCGCCCGGCTATACTACTTATAAAAAAACACAAAAAACCTCTGGAGATTAGGCGTGTCAAAAAAAGTATAGCCGGGCGGCTACACTATTTTAAAAAAGGGAGTTTCACTAAAACACCCAAAATGGGGGCTGAAATTATAAAAAAAACCCAACACCCAAAACACTTTATAAACACACCCAAAACCCATCATTACACACACTCAAAACCCATTTATAAACACACCCAAAAAATACACAATTGTTTATTTTGGGGTTGATTTTGGGTGTGTTTCTATGTTTAAATAGTGCGTGGGTTTTTTTTATAAATACATGTCTAGGATTGGGTTTATTTATAATAATCTATTTAAAAAAAGCCGGTTCACAATCGGGCGGCTAAACTATTTTCTTAAAATAAACACACACAAAATCGGGTATAGCCGGCTATACTGTTTTAAAAAAATTAAAAAAAAAAACTTTTTGTGTTGGTTTTTTATTTGATTTTCTTTTATTGTTATTTTAAAGATATAATTTTTATTATTATTATTTCTTGGGTTTTAATACAAAAATACCATTTTGCCCCTATATTTAACAGAAAATTTAACAAAATTGACGACAGAACCATTTGTCTTAACGAAAATGAAGTTGAAGGACCATGCGTATCATTTTTGGAATTGAGGTATTCAAATGCAAATCGGGTATAAGTTCAGGGACTAATAAAACGACTAACCCTATAAAGTTAATACCTTGGTCCTTATTTAGAAAAGAGATTTTCTATTTAAACCCCGCACTTCTCTTTGTTCACCCCAATACTTAAATTAAAGTTTTATTATTATGTAAAAAGACAAAAAAGGTCATCCAACTTAATAATTAACCATAGTACATCTATACAAACACCCCACACACCCCCACACACCTCACCACTATTCATATTAAATTTTAGAAAAATACAAACTCCTCTACATTTTATTGTCAAATTACTTTTCTCTTTTAAATACGTAAAACATTGACGAGTCTACCTCTTTAAATATGCGTGGGAGTTGATGGAAATGCTTGTTGATTGTCAACTCAACAATACCCAAGTGTTGGAATTCTAGTTACACTTCTTGGAGAGAGGTAAAGCTGTTCTCTTTCTCTAGAAAGTTAAATTTCAGGTTTGGGATTCCATTTATTTGTGTATTTTTTTTTTTTAATGGGAATAAAGAAAATTGTGGGGTTTAAATAGAAAATCTCTTTTATTTCTTATTTTTTCAATTTGGGGTGTATTTAAGGGTAGTTTGGAAAGATAGTGGGGTTTTCTTAGAATTTGTGAAAATTTAAATTAAAAGATAAGGTGAACTTAGAACATGGGGTGAACTAAGAGAAGTGTGGGGTTTAAATAAAAAATCTCTTTAGAAAATAAAATTAATAAATACATTGGTGCTAGATGATTTGAATTTTATTAAAACCTGGAATGACATAGAAATTACATCAAATTAAATTCAAAGGCGAATAAATTGGAAAGAAAAAAAAACTTTTTAACAAAATAAATTCAAAGGAAAAAGAAAAGAAATGTTGCTGCCCAGGATCGAACTGGAGACCTTTAGTGTGTAAGACTAACGTGATAACCACTACACCACAGCAACCCGTTGATAGTAAGCTCGCAAAACAGAGCTTTAAATTAATGCTCTTTTTTGTATCGTTGCCCTTTTTGTTCCTGCCACCACATGATGGAACAGGCCAACATATCACACGACAAAATCCACACACCGGAAAAAAATCATATGAAAAGACGCATTAGTCAGTTTCTTAGAAATTTCCTGCTTGGCGCCAAATTTCTTGAACAGAATTTAGTTGTACTTGTATCCCTCTCTTAAAGATTAAGAAAATTTTAAGAATTAAAAACATCATCCAACTTAAATGTGACCAGGCAGTTGTACCAGTCATTTGCATGGGGGGCGCTTGGTTAATTTCATTATTTCTGGATTTTTGTTACATGATTGAAGTTTTTTTTAGCTTGAATAGGATTTGAGGTCCAATTTTAATATATTAGCTTGGTGGGTTTTCTTGCTTTTTGTCCAAGTGCCCCGACAAAGAAGACTACAATGGCAACAATTGCAAGAATATGCCTGCAGTCATTACTTAAATTAGTGAATTCAGTTTTGGGAATGGTTGGAATTGCAATGGTTTTGTATGGTCTTTGGATGGTTAGAGTTTGGCTGAGGGACATGGACAGTTCATCCGTTGATCAATATAATGCTGCTGCTGCTGCTGCTCCATGGTAAGCAAAACCAAAACCAAATTCCATTGCTGACATATTTTCGCTGCAGAAACAGATTCTCTGTGTTTTACAGATATCAAAATCATCACTATTTGTGTTTTTTTTTTTTGGTGTGTTGTGTGTAATGCAGGTTTATATGCACTTTTCTTGGCGCTGGTGTTTTCTTGTGTGCCATTACATGCATAGGTTATCTTGCTGCAAAATTTGCACATGGTTGTTGCCTCTCTTGTGTATCCTTCATCGTGTGTGTGTGTGTGTGTGTGTGTGTCTGTTTTTGAACATATGTTGACCTTGAACCAACTAGTATATGTTGATCATCTTTTTGGTTCTTCTCTTGGAGACTGCGATGGCTGCAGATATACTCCTAAATTCAGACTGGGAGAAGGTAAACCATCTTGGCAAACAAGCTTACAATATTCCTCCAAAATCAAGTATTTCTTACTTTCCATATAACATTGTTCTTCATTTTTCAGGATTTACCCTATGACCCTACAGGAAAGTTCCATGATTTCAAAGATTTCGTGAAGTCAAATTTCGACATGTTTAAGTGGATAGGCTTGTTGATCGTCTTAGCACAGGTGCTTTTGTGTTTGATGTTTTTGTTCAAGCCACATTTATTTTCAAATAACAATATAACCAGTGTGTTGAAACTGAAACACATTATTTCCTGAACTGCATTTAAACCCAGGTAGTTAAAATTAAAATTTTATGATTTATTTTCCTCAAAATCTCAAGGATAGTTTAGACCTCTGTGATGTGATAAAGTCCATAATCTGCAGGGGTTTTCAATCTTATTGGCATTGGCTCTAAAGTCTGTAGAGCCAAACCAAGGATCGAGCTATGATAGCGATGAAGAGTGTCCCCCAGCACGACTCCCACTCATAAACCCTAATGTTGAACCGCTGGAATATATCGTTGCAGCCAAGAATAATAATTGGAATGTAAGAATTCATGCCTTACTTGCATATCCCACTCACTACTTGAGTTTTATGAGACATTTTCTTTTTTATGAATTTAACTTTTGATGCCTCATTTTTCTGTTTATCTTTCCCAGTCAAACAAGTGAAGAGATCAAAGATACTTGAGCTTTGTGAAAGAAGTTTATGGAATATGCAGTTACTGGTTGACATAGTACTTATGATACTACTAATTGTCAACAGAAGCTTGTGAGAGATGGGTTTCAAGTCTGGATATGTTAAACCATGTTGTCCTCTGTCTTTGGTTCTGCATTATGGATCTTCATGTTGTCTGCTTAGCTACCTCAGTTCACTTCTTTTGGTTAAATAAAATATCTTTTCCATCTTTAGAATGAAGAGAATAAAGACAAAAGCAAGGGAAAAATATGAACTAACTTTATCTATTTATAATGTAGTTCATAACTTAAACAAATGTTCTTTCCCAATTGCTAATAAATGAGTAAATAACTTCCTGTTGCTCAGTCTAAAGTCTATACTACAATACAATGTAAGATCTCACTCCTCAAATGTTACAAACAATGTAATCCAAGGAAAAATGTTACAAACAAAAGCAAATAAGAAAGGAAAAACCAGTAACCCATAAAGAACCCGGAAAGAATACAAAACGGAAGAAATTTTGGAGAAGAGAGCGTCTATTCAGATTTTGATGGCTTTCTCTTCATTCGACTGAATGGCCCAACTGTTCGATCCATTATGTACATGTAGATGACTTGGCTCCAAGATTTATACGACTCCAAACCCTCATAGTATTCTGGTGCAATGCCCTTCACCTTATGGAGCTTGCTCCCAGGAATTCTGGGGAAATCATGGTGCTCATTGTGGTACCCCACGCTCCAAGTCAGGAGATTAAGAGGGCCATAGTAAGAATATGTCTCTTGATCAGGGTTGAAGACATAATGCTCTGAAATGAAGTGACCAGCCATTGGGTGCATCCCACCCCCAACAAATGTAGAGAGGATCAAATAAGCAAAAGATTTCCACCCACAAAAATAGACCATGGAAACATCAAGGGCTATCTGAATGAAAAGGTTGAGGAACTCCCAATAACCAGGGGGCTTTGGTTTGAGAAACACAGGCCGAAGAGCATAGAAGAAGAGCTGAAGGAGAACCCATATGGCTTTTTTTACCACATTTGTCACCAAATGGGCTTCAACCTTGCTCGGGATGTCCATATCAATTCCGTCTACTCCTTGAAAACGGTGGTGCTCAAGGTGATATTTTTGGAAGGTGACAGACATGGGAACACCGATTGGGAGGTTAGCAAAAATACCAAGCCAACGGTTGTAGACTGGAGTTGAGAAGGCGAGATTGTGACTGAGCTCATGGATGGCCAAGAAGAGGTTGTGGTTGAGGAAAGAGCCAAAGCAGTAGGCTATTGCCAGCATCTTCAGCCAGCCTGCATTGTGGAGGGCTGTAGCAGTCCAGAGCTGAAGCAAGACAACCACTGTAATCTGCGGCACCATGATTTCATTCAAAGATCATTAATAAAAAAAATATAAGACAGCTGATGGAGAAGTGTAAGTTTCATTTTATCTCAAACCAGAACACTAACTAATACTCATATGTTTCCAGACTGACAAAAGTCTGTTAGTTTACAAGTTGATTTAGGTTCTGGAAACCGAATCAGAAAAAACCACACCGAAACCAGTACATTAGCAGCATAACTCACCACTAATTAAAACCCAATTTTCATGGACATAAACAGAACTCTGCAAATTAGTAGGTTGAACTATGTTCTAAAAATCGAGTCAGCATGTCTCCGATATACGGTTATTTGTGCATTTTGAGAGTCCATTCACACCGAAAAGTATGAGGAAGCATAATTCATAGCATTACAAAACCCCAACAGCATGCCCATTTATTCATAACATCTTAGAACAGCATAGTCGCTGTAAAAGAGGACAGTTAGGAAGAAAGCTCAATTCTTTGGCTACACTAGTTTATTTCTATATCCTTGAAAGAGACACTTGAAAATCAAGTAAGAAACAATGTCACCTCATTCCGCACAAGCAATGCTGCACGCGATGTAGAATTTGTAAAATCACTAACTGTTGGAAAATGGATCCGGGACTCATACTCAATTTTCAATACAAAGATTAAAAAAAAAGAAAAAGAAAGAATTAACTAGAAAGAGGCGTGCATTGAAATTGCATAATAGAATTCCGAAAGCAGAAAACTTCCAATACCCAAATGCAGAAAAGGAGCAAAAATCATCCCAATCATACTTTTGGACTCACCTACATTGTCTCAGATCTAAAACCAACGGAAAACAACCGAACAGAGGCAATACACGAAAAACCCAACAAAATGCCAATCACACACACAAAAACAAACTCAGATATGCATGAAAAGAACTTGTTTGTGGAAGTACCTTGAGGAAAGCCCAGGGATCAGGACCAAAGAGCTCCTTTACCTGAGGGTACTGAGAGAGGATCTGACGGCGCCTAGAAGCGTGAGGCTCATCTGTATAAGACCAAAAAAAGTCAGTAGCCATCACTCCCTCCTCTTCTGCCTCTCTCTGTCCCCCTCTTCCCATCTCTCCTTCTCTAAAAAAGACCCTTTCTTTCTTTCTTTCCCTCTTCTTTTCCTGCGTTTCTCTCTCTCCCTCTGATATAAATACGTTTGTTCTTCTTCCTTTCCTCCTGGTTATCTTATAAAATCTGATGGGTTGGTTTGTTTGTTATTGAATTAAATTATGGGTTAAGTTGGGTTGGGTTAATAACTTAAAAGAATAGTATAGAATACTTGGATTGTGTTTAAAATTGGCAAAAGGAGGAGGCGGTGACTAAAATTAGAGAGGGGAGGCAAAAGAGCGTTTCTGTGATGTGTGGTCTGTGGCCGATTTAACAGCTGGGAATTGTAATTGACAAACTTCTTGTTGGACTTTCTTTGCCAATTGGGTCCTTTCCACCGGTTTCCAATCTTTATACGTTTTTCGTATCTATGAATGACAAAGAGAGAAAATTATTCTAAAAATTAAATCTTTTTCCACATAACCTCATACATGGTCAGCCACTCAGACTTTGCCACATCGGCAACGAGCCAGCCTTTCGACACTCCACCTTCAATATCGCTTGTATAAATTTTTAAATAATAAAAAACATAGAGTTGAAGCCCATTGAGAAAAGGACTAAACCAGATGAGGCCGAGGAGCAGAGCCCACTCTTCTACAGAACCCCAACAAGTCCCAACTTCATAGGTTTGGTTTTGTATCCCAACTAGGTTATCAATTGGAACTTGGAAAGTAGAACGAAAAGGGTACAATACTAGCATTATCATCACATTGTGTTCACCCATCTCCAATGAGCCAGGGATTGCTCTATAATCCTACTTACATCATTACTTTTATATCTGGTTATCAGCTTGCTTGAAAACAATTATGCCGTCTAAACCATTCAAATTGAAAATTCTCAGCAACAAGGAGGGGATTTGTATATTAAAAAGACTAAGCCAACTTCAAAGCTGTACAAGCATTTACAAATGTACTACATACAATTTTATACACTCCTCAACTTCACCCGCCAGCACAAAATAACTCAGGCGAGGTCTTCTGAACAGGAGTGGGAAGATACCGACTTTAAACCCACCGAATGAATTTTCGGTCCTTATGTAATCAAAGGAAAAGAAACTAATTCATTAAATCGCCACTGGAGATTGTGGTTTTGGACTATGATTCAATCACCTTAGGTGGGAGTCATAAGGGTCAAAGGGGTTATCCGGTGTAACTAAAGGCAACTTATCTATATACATGAAAAGCCTCCTAAGGTTCTCCCTCATCACTGTTTCCATGTCCACTATGTCCCTGCTGTCAGTGTATACCCAGAGATCACCCGAGTTCACTCTCTTAAGATGGTCACGGCAGAAAGGGCATGACTGAGATCTTGTTCGCCTGCAATATGTCAACCGAGCATTACTTTCAGACATTCATATATACACAGACATGAACCAGAAAATTCCATTTGTGAGGACGAAAGTATAAGAGAGAGATTTTGCTTACACACTATATACGTTTGAGATAATGGATTGTCTATATTTAAATCAAATACAATTGCATTTATGATTTATCTATCCAACAGCGCATACTGCTATGCACATAAGAGAATTTCACAATTTTGTGTAGATATCGTGTAAAGGATATAATATAAAATAACATTTGAATGAAATATATAATAACAAACACCTATATGGATAATCAAGACATCAATTAAGAGTAAAAGCTAGCACCAACGGAAAAACACCATGGTAATTCAGAGCATATCGTTCACTACGCCATACCACAATAAAAGGACAATTGTATGTGCCGCAAAAGCTGAATCTCTGATTTCCACTGAATCTTAATGACAAAAAAGGAGAGAGAGGATTGAGGAAAAAACCTGCAAACTAACTATTAAACCTAGGGGTCGCTTGTCTAAATAAAATTCACTATTATCACTCTTGCATGCAATCTCCAACTACCATAACTTAATACCAACTTGCTCATGATGCCATTGCCCAAAGTGCATTTCAAAAGAACTCCCCAGACAAATATAACATGGTGAAGAAAACGTATTGATAACAAGATTTAGTATGACAACAAAAATTTGACAATAATGAATTGCACCAATGATCATAAATGCAACAGAACAAAGAAATAATTTCATTAGACCCTCTAATGTACCCATGGTTTTCATATAATTGCAGGGCTTAAACTTTTATCAACTATTTGATAGAAAATGCAACATAATTTTTTAGTACGACTGAAACAATGAATCTTTCGAGGCAAGTACCAGCAATATCACAAAGTAGCAGGCTAACTTTAATGTTTAAAAAGATCTAGAACTAATCACACAGAGAGAGAGAGAGAGAGAGAGAGAGAGAGAGAGAGAGAGAGAGAGAGAGAGTACCAATCACGGTAACATTTCAGGCACATAGCATGGTTACAGTTAGGCAATACAATTTTACTATTTGTCTCCATGCATATACCGCATTCCTCCTCTCTTTCAATGTCTATATCAGAACACTGTCGATTTTCCTCATCATCTCTTTTTCGATACCTTTCCATGCATACTGCCTTCTGCTTTTTATCTTCACTGTCAGTGACACCTCTCTGAAGTTGCAACAACGAGGGATAAATAACAGCTGACCACAAAATGAGGCATCAGTAAGAAAAGAAACACACAAGGGCTCAACAAAAACCAAATAGCCAAACTGCTGAGATCAGAAATTTACCATAGAACTCTCTGATGCTTGCTTTCCTTTCCTTGGTAGACATGATGGTTGTTGAGCCATCCACATAAACCTGTAGCATAAGCCAAAATGCGATGGTCACCCACATCCATGATTGGAATCTAACTCAAAGAAATAGAAGCCATCGGAAGCTACAAGCTTCAACCTTGTAAATTAAAATTCTTAACAGCCCAAGGGCTCCTGCGAGGTTGCAGTCAGTCCATTGCACCAGAAAAAGGAAGAGGTGAGCAGCTGGACTGTATGACATTCTCATCTGAAGACAAGCACCATCATACTCCCTTGGATAATCGGAGGCCCTGCAGCTCACACATCTAAATAAGGATTTGAATATAAACGGAAGACTAATTATCAGATTAAGCCACCAAAATCATGACATATATCAGCAAATCATACAATGTACCAACCCAACAACTCCCTCTCTCCCTCTCTGCCTATCTCTCAATTAAATGTCTATGAAGCATAATTGCAACAGTCTGTTAAAATTATGATCAAGCATTTTTTTTCACAAATCATCTACTATGAAGTATCCAAAAGAATGAGAAAAACTGCATAGGACCAAACTGTGGTATTGTAATATGAAGTATCCAAAAGAATGAGACTATCACAACAAGGCCACAAGCAGGTTTATTTGTAAAAAATAAAAGTAAAAATAAATAAATAAACAGCACAAGCAGGTGGAACCCAGTGGCCACGTGAACTTATTACTCACTGACAATTTTGGTTTGCCTTCTTCCTCCTGACAATCCATCCAGATAAGGATAATGCACAAATAAATATCCACTTAAACTAACGCTTTAATGTTAAAAAAAACAATCGCATTCCCAGAATCATATCGTCAGTGAAAAATAAATGAACCCATAGAAACCGCGAGGCCAAGATATTTTCTTTTTGTTTTCATGAAAGAGACCCAGAAACAAGAAACCAATAGATGAGCGAAAAAGAAAGAAAGAAAAAAAAGGCAAAAATGAAAACTTTGTGATCCTGCCACTACTTGAAGGAAAACGGAAACAAAACTTTGTGATTCTTCCTTAATTTGCAGAATAATAAAAACAACCAAAACAGAGCTAGGATTTATCTTTAGGCTGTTCATTAAATTTTTAAAAGGAAAAAAAAACTAAATTGACAACCCGAGATATAAATAAATCAAAACAACCAAACTTAAAGGGAAAAAAAATCTTACATTTTGAACATGAACTAAATTCAAGCACAAAAATTAACAAAAAAAGTGATTACAAAAAAAGAAGTAATTTTTTCACCCAAAAAAAAAACAAGCACAGAATCAAAACCAGAAGAAAATCGTCAACAAATGGAGCAGATGATCACTTACAGTGTATTTGCATGCTGAATATCAGCTTCGAGCACTTTCAGAGAGTCCTTGAATGACTTTCGCATGGAAGCTATATACATCTCCACAGAAAAATAAAATAAAAAACAACAAAAAAAGTCAAAATAATTACAAAGCACGGAGATAGAAATATTCAATCAGCCTCCAAGAACCCTAATTTTCTCACCCACTCCCAAAAACCCACACTTTCTCTCCACTTTCTCTTTCCCTTTTCTCTCTCAGTCCCTTCAGCCTTCGTGTTTCTTCTATGCTGTTCTTGAAAGCGAAGACGAGACCGCGAGGCGACACGTGGCCACCCAACTTCTAAAAACATAAAATATAATTTAAATAATAAATTAAGATTATTAATTTTTCTTTTCTTAAGTAGGGAGCGTCGAAATAGAGATGCACGAACGCGGGCCCGTGATGGCCTTATCCACTCTCTTTGGCTTTTGTCTGCCACTTTTCCCTCTCTATTCGTAAGCTTTCCCTCCACGCACCGATGATCGTTACACCCGCCCTTACTCAACTTTTGCCCTCCAACTTCCAACTTATTTTCCTCAGATATTTACAAAATAATCATACGATCCATAATAAAATTACACTACAATAACAATATTAGTCACAATTAAGTATCCAACTCATCACAAATATATATCGTCGTCATTGCGAGTTGAATCTTCCAAATAAGTAAAAGGTTAATTGGTTTTCTTAATCAACCCTTCACATTCAAAATTTTTTTTTTTTATAAATACTTTTTTCTTTTTGGGTTGGATTTCCAAATTAGATATAAGTTTTGAAGATAACCCATAATCTAATCTGTCAACTCACTTGTCTTTATGTTCATAAAAATCCGGACTTTAAACTTGGTCAGATCAGACCAGAACAGATCATCTATAATCTCTAATTAGTTCCTTAATTCTCAGTTAATGATGTATTATTTGTGATGAAAAATACTTACCATATATGCATGTGTCTTCTACATCATGTTCAAAATTTGTAGTTTGAGAAGATTGAGATTAATTACTGAAATCTGATAATTAATTAGATACCAAACTTCAAAGGCTGAAAAGTCATTGAGATCAACGGCTTAGATTTCATAAAGAATCAATTGATTGCTCAATCCAAAAAAAAAAACCCAAGAGAAACATATGGCCTTTATACAGAAAGCCCATTTAAACAGACAGTATTTTTATGGACCCGTCAAATAACTGGTTTTTCTCAAAATTTATGGTATTGGGTAGGCCGCTCATCAAGGATTATAATTATGCCAAAAATGAACATGGATCAAAATCATTAGAGATAATAATTACCATTGTCATTGCTGCTAATTGAAGTTTCAATGTAGATTCTAGTTTTTGGTTGTTGGGATATCAATGTCTAATAATAAACTATCCCCTTTCACTTATGCTTATTGAAAATAACCAAACTATCATTGCTTTGGGAGATCACTTATGATCAAAACTCATTACCATTTTTAACAAACAGTTTAATCACCTCCACTCATGTTCAATACATGATGGATGATTTTGGTGAACGATCACATACACCGTTATTAGATTTCAAATATTACGTGTTCCAAAGTAAATAATAACATTTTTAGCGTGTGAATAACGGTTCTGTTGATAATGAACCAAACTAATGATATATTGCATAGCATGAACAAATTTTTTGAATTTTAACTTCTTCATAAATGAAAGCATCAAAGCAATGGATGTAAACAAAATGGCGTGTCAACGAGATCTAATCCGATGGAAAAGAGCTTTGACTTGTAAACTAGAAGTCTCAAGTTCGAATTCCGATATCATCTTAATTGTATGTGTGTGATAACCCGTATAGTTTAGACTATTGCTTATACTAAAAAAAATTTAAAACAAAAGGGAGTCAAATTATACACATGATTCTGTTGCCCTAACAGCCAACACGCAACAGCTATATTTGTTAAAAGTCTCATAATTAGAGAAGAAAATTATTGATCACCAAAAAAAGAAAAAAAAAGTTATTGACCCTACAGAGATAAGCAAGGGGAATCCTTTTATTCTACAATTTTTTTATAAAAAAATAACCAAAAAAAAAGTGTTAATATAACTTTTAGTTGTTTCAGTTGGTCCTTCAATTTTATTTTTTGAGGATTTCAAAGTTGGTCCCCAAACTTTACGAAATAAAGAATGTGCCCGACCGAAACCTTGTGACGAAAATTACCCACCACTATCTGTATATTCACGAAACCATCCATGGGCTTGAAGTTCATCGACTTACTGTGCACTCAGCTGAGGCTGTGCTAGTTGTTGCCATGCGAGATACAGCAAAGGCGTTCGTACAGTCCCTTCCCCTCCGAGAAATTCCTAATGAAAACCCTAATTTCCCAGTACTGGGTTCACTATTCGAAGCCTCAATTCTCACCGTCAGCTTTTCTCTTCCATTTTCCGAAAAGTAAGAACTTTCTTCACATTTCCCACAGAAAATGGTCTTGCTATCCCAGAACCACTAGATTATCTTCTGTCGGAGTTCACTTTGCCTCTGAATCAGCCAGTTATGGCGGGTGGGACGATTTGAGACTCGCCGGCGACTCGGGCCGCTCTGGTGAGTCTGATAAGTTTCGTGATTTTCTGGTTTCTATAGGAATCGATGATAAAAAGCATGTCTTCGTCTTTCTATTAGGCCTTGCATGCGCTTTTGCCATTTCCAGGGTTAGGATTTCTTCAGTTGTCGTGTTTCCTGCTTCAATTTTAGTTTTTGCTATAGGGTTTTCATTTGGCTTCGTTCGTGGTGGAAGTGTTGGTGAAGTGAGCTTAAGTGCAAATAAGAGAAGGGCAAAAGAAGAAAACTTGATTGCTTATCCTGAGAAATTGAGGAACTTGGTGGAAATTTTCGATGGGTTTGATGATAAAGTTAATAACTTAAAGTATGATATACAAAAAGCTATTGATTCCAGAGAAATTACAGTTACTGATTTGGAAAGTTATGTAAAGGCCATGGAAATAATTAGTTTACTGGTGTCGAATGCTAGGAATGCTGTTGAGAATTTGGGTAAGTTCAATATTGATTTAGTTGAGAACAAAAAGCTGAGTAAAAGAAAGAAAGAGCCCGTACAAATTGGATATGAGTTGTTCCAGTACATAGGAGGTTTGTTCAAAGAAAAGTTGGCTGATTCCAAGCCTAATAGAGTGAAAAATAATTTTAAGCGAGAGGCTGTGGAGAAATTGATGGATGATCAGTCTCGAGAGAATGGTTCGATGCCTTCTGTTAATGAAATGGTTCTCGGTTCTGTTCATGAGAATAAAGGAATTGTAAATTCGAGTCATTCTCAAGATTTCTTAAATAAGTCTGGTTTTGATGAGGCTGGAAATGGAAGAATCAAAGTTGCTTTAGAAAATAATAAGATGAGTTCAGAGGAGTTGGGTGGGGGTCCAAACAGATCTACAGCTAGAAGAGAGTTTAATTATCAGAATAATGGATTGCAATTCATGAGCAATGGTCACATCTCTTCGAAGATGGATCATAACAATCATACTGAAACGTGGGAATCCCATGACATTCTACTTGATTCTGTAGATTTAAGTGTCAGAATGGAGCATATGGACAGTAAAGCTTCCTTTGTACAAGAACAAATACTTAAGCAATCTGGTGTGGACTACAGGTCTTCTCATATCAGGGAAAAAAGTGAGGATGGGACTTATGAGTCTCATCTTAGAGAAGAGCAAGTAAATCACAACGACGATTCTCATTTGGCTGATCACCTGTCTGGACATGAGAGTGAACTCCCTTCTCTTTCATCTTCAGTGGTTTCAGATGATATAGTGTTTGATAGGTATATTAGAGAAGCTAATGATCTTCTAAAACAAGCCAAGGAATTAATAAGAGTTAAACACAATGAAGAGCGTGCAGAGAACATATTATACAGGGCAGCCAAATTACTATCCAAAGCCATATCTATGAAGCCCATGAGTTTGCTAGCTGTGGGCCAGTTAGGCAACACTTGCCTTCTTCATGGAGAATTAAAATTGAGGATTAGTCGTGAGTTGAGAACACAGCTTGCAAAAAGTGACCCCTTATCTGCTGAGAAATGGATTAGAATGCATGATAAAATCAGCAGTAAAGATGAAATTGCATCTGTCCTGATTAACGTGTGTGAAGAGTGCGAGGAACTTCTCGTGGAAGCAGGCAAAAGGTATAGAATGGCATTATCAATTGACGCAAATGATGTGAGAGCCCTATATAATTGGGGTCTTGCTCTCACCTTCCGTGCACAGTTGATTGCAGATATTGGACCTGTAAGAGACTTGACTTAAATTTTTTCATTTTTAAATTTTTTTCCTACCAATGGATTGTTTAAACTGCTTTTGTAGTTTTAGTACTCAGTCGTGTGAGCTATATTATGATCAGTTGAATTAGGCTTTAAACCGTATCCTTTGTGGATTTCAGGAAGCGGCTTTGGATGCTGACGAACTGTTCTTGGCTGCAATTGATAAATTTGATGCCATGATGTCCAAGGGAAATGTTTATGCACCAGATGGTATGTTTCTGGTCCCCCCTCTCATTCTCTCTCCCTTTTTTTTTTCTTTGGAGAGAACATAGTGTATAAGTTATTTGATTCTGTTTGATTTAAAAAACTTTTAAACTGCAGCTCTGTTTAGATGGGGTGTGGCACTACAGCAAAGATCACGCCTACGACCTAGCAACGGGAAAGAGAAGGTGAAGTTGCTGCAGCAGGCAAAGAGGCTGTATGAAGATGCACTTCATATGGATTCCAACAATGTCCAAGTAAGAGAAGCCTTATCATTATGCACATCGGAGCTTAGCAGCAGGCACCGTTACTTTTAACTAAAGCGTACTGCTAAATTTTGCCCCTCCTGTCAGGCTTCCTGTTCGCGAAATACAGTAAACAAACAACGAGTCTTTGATATATTTGTATAAATACAAAATAATAAATAAAAGTGATGACAAGAGAAGAATATAGAAGACAGTTTATTTTCTGGCGCAGAATCGACTCATAGTACTCTCTATTGCTCTCCCCATATGAAAGCTTTTGCGGTTTTTAGCAGGTTCATTCACCACCAACATTGAATTTTGTCGCATTAGTTTATGTTTAACTGAGCATAAAGTAACGTGAACAAAAAATAACCTAAAATCATAAAGATGTATAACAGAGGTTTCATTTCCATTTTCCACAAAGTACAAAAATGTCCCAAAAGAAAACTTGTACTCGTTTACTGGGGACACTGCAAGTTTTTTCCCTTCCCGGGAAAAAATCTTCAGCTGGCGTTATGCCATCGACCTCAAACATTCCCGGAAAACTTTGAACATGC